GTTTACATGTTTTCAAATTTGCGTTTTTTTTTTAAAAAATAGAATCTCATGTAGCACAGTTATCGAGCATTTTATTTCGTGAAATTAGTATCATCACATTTCCTTCATCTTCCCCTTGAAAAACCGGGGAAAGTTATATTTGGGGGTTAGGGAATGGAGCTAGAAAATTTGATATAATGTCTTGTCATCGGCTACGAGTCTATGTGCCAAGTTTCAGCTCGATTGGTTGACGAGAAGTGGGCCAGTTAGCCGTCCCAAGATTTTACCAGCCACGAACAAAAGCGAAGTTAATATAAAGGATTTAAAGACCTATCCACTTCGCTTTTGTTCGTGGCTAACGTATTTCCATACCCTTACAGTACAAGTCAAAGTGATGTTGTCTCCTTTGATGTTGTAAGAAATGTATGGCTCATTTCCTCTCTTCGGGTCCAACAGCAGCTGTGCTTTAATTGCTTCTTTTTCACCTAATAGTGCAACACAGGGTTATCATTAACAATTATAAAATATTTCTTTAAAACAATGATTCGTAAGAGCGTATGTCATAATTATTCATATTCCTCCATATTATGCATTTTGGGGTTGTGAAAACAACGGGTCTCATCCGAAATTTTGACCCTGAATGATTATGGGCATCGGTTGGTCTTTGCCGGATTTATCTAGTGGCTAATAAGGCACGTGCTTGCGGGCGCCGCATATTTATAAAAAAAAAATTCAAGCAGATTGGGTTTGATTTGATCTCCGTGCAAAAAATGGAAAGACCAATTGAAAATCTCTCCAACCTTATAAACTCCTGAGCTAAGAAGGATCTAGATAAGCCATTGACACTTAATGAAGGACAAGGAGTTTTAGGGAAAAAAACGAAAATTCAAACTCTGCCAACTAAAATCAACTAAGACTAGAGGGGAAGAGGGATGTGGAGGTATCACCGACTTGTGATCTCAAGGAAAGAATAGACTCCTTGTGGAAGGGGTGAGCAAAGTACTGCAAGTGGGCCACATTGGGCACGCCATCTGCTTCTTGTTCATTTAAATTAATAATAGCGTTATTTAATTATTTTACATTACAATAAATGACCCGATGTTATTGGGATAATAATGGTAGGCCATTTTAAAAAAGTTCTACCTGCTATTACAAAAACTCATCAAAATTTCTAACTTTAAAAAGAAGTATCTATGTCATGATATTTACGTTTCTAGCTTTATTAAGTTTTGAGAATTATTTATCTGCTATATATTATTCGCCTACCCTACTCCCTTTCACGCCCCTAAACTAATTCTTCCCCTCTAAATATGACCTTAAATTATCCAATCTAAATTATCACTAATTATATCGCTTTTGCCACTAAAGAAGTTAATTGAAGGACGATTACTACGCTAGCGAACTACTTTTGATGTACCCCTTTTCATGCCCTTGAATTTCACAATTTTTCTCTAAAAATTATTTTTAAAAACTTAATCTTAAATTTACAACAAAAAGTTTATATATGATGTAAAAATAGTTTATATTAAAGCAGTTATGGAATTCCCACTTTATCAAAATTTAAACACACTTTGCCTTGTTTTTTTCTTTTGCTTTTTTTTTAAATTATACATTACCAGAAAATCGTCAAACAAATTAATTTTTTTTATCTAAAGCATAATCTCGATACTATGTTTTACATCCGTAACAGACTTGAGCGTGTTGTTTTGTTTTTGTTTGGTTTTTTGTTTGTTTGGTTTTTTGTTTTTTAAATTTCATAAAATTAACACCGACTTTACTTTTAGCAAAGTAAAAACAAAAATATATTTTCTTGTTTTTGAAAGTAAATGTTAACCCATCTCCCTTTTTCAAAATTAAATTTTCAGTTGTGAAAAATTGTTGGGTTTTGATATCCATGATTGCACTTATATAAATGTACACACGTTTTTTTGTTAGTACCATATTCTTAATTGGTAAACGTGTTTTTATTTGCAAAAAAAGAGAATGTAACATCTCTTTTTTTTCACAAATGTAATACCATAGGATTTAAGTATATTGTCACTTATCTAAAAAAAAAATACAAATCCTATTTCCTATCACCGACATGTTGAACCCAAGAAGTTTATTTGTTTATGAAATTGATTCCTCTGTTTTGAAGCGTATCGTGTGCTGCCTTGGACAAAATGAACATTATACTCATATTTGTAAAAAGAAAATGTAACATCCCTTTTTTTCACAAACGTAATACCATAGGATTTAAATATATTATCATCCTCGTCAAAATGTACACATCCTTTTTTCCTACCTCCGTTTTGTATGTACCAAAGAAAGTTAATTGTTTATGAAATTCATTCCTCTATTTTGAGAAGTATCTTGTGCTGCCTGGGGCAAAATGACTAAGATAAAATGTGTATGTGTTTTATTAACAATTTAAAAAGCAATAAATTATAAATATTAGTTAGGGAAATGACATTATCAGTTTTGTAACGCGCGGTTATTAAATCAAATAAACTTAATAGTTTTGTTAACATAAGCGAGTCACACTACGACGTCATTTGCGTGTTTATTTACAACAAATTAATTTTAATTTTATTTCGCTATATTAACAACACACTAAAAACGCACTAAAACTTCTGATGATTGGGTTCTCCCGATAAATATGATTACGGTGTAATTTTTTATAATAGTTTTTTTTTCTTTTTTTTTTTTCATAACTTTTAAACGCATATATAATGCTTAAGATAGTTCCTAAGTTGCTACTTTAAATATATTTGCAATTGATCATAATAATACTTAAACTTTTACTAAAATAAAAACGTATTTATTTAATTTTTTGCGCATTTAAATGTATTCGATTTCTGTAAAATAATGGAAAATAACTATGATCGTTTTTTAAGACTCCGAACGTATTTAAATCTTTTCGGTTATTTGGCGTTATGGTCAGCATAGCTCATTCTTATATATATTCAGTATTACTAGATCAGCAAATGTGTGTATTTTGCCATAAAATCGATAATATTTAGCTTTTATTGTAACATTTCTCCAATCGATATTGTTATAAGTTAGAATCACAAATAATGAATCTCTGGGTACGTATTTATGTAATGACTGTAATGCTATGTTAAGTAGGCGCACAAAATAAAATTATCGGAATTAAGCACTCAATGAGATTCTTAAAAAGAGCGTCATTTAAATCCATGTTTTGTCAAGTTAATTGGTATTGTGGGAAGTTCATGTAATGCTGCCATCATTGCACGACTGGTTTTGCCGTAAATTGTAAGTGTATCATTGAAACAAAAGCCCTCAACTGTTACTTAAAATTGCTTCACCTACAAATTGAACCTTAGATTGACAGGCGAAATCAAGGTCGCTTCCTATGTGAAGACATTTTGACCAAAAAAAATGTTTGTCTTGTTTGATGACGGTAGCTTCCCTCAATTCCAAACCGTGAAAGAGCCAAGCAAAATAACATCATAGCCCGTTCTGCAGATTCCACGACTTATGCAAGGAACGCTTTCAGTGAACGAAAATAATCGTCCTAAGCCAATCTGAACTTGTTGTATCATTGTTGTATCATTGTTGTTTCATTGTTGTATCATTCATCAATAACAAGATATGTTGAAAGACTGATCGAAAGAAATAAAACTGATATACTTCTATACAATGCTTTCAGTTAAACAAGCTTTCCCCATCTCTGTCTTTGGCGCTAACTTCTTGTGTAGGAAGACACCAATACCTTTATGTGTGTGAAGACATTTTCTATATTGAAACACGCAAAAATCAAGTTACATAGCAGTCCTATTTGATGAGCACAGAGTAGTCAGATTTGATGAGCACAGAGCAGTCAGATTTGATGAGCACAGAGCAGTCATATTTGATGAGCACAGAGCAGTCAGATTTGCAGACCTGTTTACTCTCAAACTCATAAAATCGTACAATACCTTATATTTATAGAAAAAAAATAAACATACAGTATACATGCTAACACCTCAAAATCGTACATTGTACGCCAAAATCGTAAGAGTAAACAGGTCTGGATTTGATGAGCACAGAGCAGTCATATTTGATGAGCACAGAGCAGTCAGATTTGATGAGCACAGAGCAGTCAGATTTGATGAGCACAGAGCGGCCAGATTTGATGAGCACGGAGCAGTCAGATTTGATGAGCACAGAGCAGTCAGATTTGATGAGCACAGAGCGGCCAGATTTGATGAGCACGGAGCAGTCAGATTTGATGAGCACAGAGCAGTCAGATTTGATGAGCACAGCTTTGCACCCCTCCTCCCGGTCGACGCCTCCTGGTGTAAGCGGACAGAAGACCCTCGCCTCATATCTGGCATCTTGTCGAATGACCTTCGTTTCTCTGCCGCTGTCTTCTAAAGATGTATGGTTGCGCATTATAACTCGCCTCTTTGTCTTTTCAGGGCGTCTTCATACTCGCCTTAAATCTCTACATAAGGCATTGCCGTGTTTAAAGGAAGTTATTTTATACCTCTTCAACTTCAATTGTGTGCTTTGTAGCATTTGCCAAGTTATTTTATACCTCTTAAACTTCAATTGTGTGCTTTTTAGCCACTGGATTGTGGGTCGCACTGTCATCGGAGCAAGAGAGGGGGGGGGGGTTGCATGGATTGCACTGTAATCAGTAGTAGGAGACAAGGCATTTATGGAGTGCACTGTAATAAGGTATTCAGTAGCAGGAGACAGGTTTGGGGGGGAGGGGGGGGTCAAGGATTCACGGTTACCAGTCTTTAACCTTATTTCAAACAATTTGCAAGAGAGGGGGGGGGGGGTTGCATGGATTGCACTGTAATCAGTAGTAGGAGACAAGGCATTTATGGAGTGCACTGTAATAAGGTATTCAGTAGCAGGAGACAGGTTTGGGGGGGAGGAGGGGGTCAAGGATTCACAGTTACCAGTCTTTAACCTTATTTCAAACAATTATTTTTACATTTCGGTTTGAAAACTTTGTTGAAAATTTTCTCAAATAATTATTTGATTCTAGTTACCAGAGCAAAAGTTGATTGTAGTTTTATTTTTCCCAATTGTTTACATCTGCAACTAAAGTAAGAAACACATTTCTTACTTCACATTTTTTCAAACACAATATCAAAACTCTCAAATTATAAAACCTTGTTTGAAATATTAAAATACTTCTTTATTTTCTCCTCGCCAAAAAAGATCGATTTCCTAGATTTTCTACTCCATGACAAAACTCAAATGAATGTTACAATAAATAATCATCAATGCATTGTGCTATTGGTTCGGTGGACCATCTTGGTCCCACTGGAAGCTTTAAAATACCCCACACTGCCACCAGTGGGGAGAATTTTCTATATTTTAGAAAAATAAAACTTCTCAACCCTTAGCTTGCGCAAACTGAAGCCAGCTCTATTCCTTACTTTTTATTGCTAGTACTCATCTTTCACATATAAAATAGGCTAAAAATTATACCTAGAAAAAATGTGTTTTGTGCCTTAATTATTATTGTACAAATAAAACTCTTATTCAGTTGTAGGTACATTAGGAATTCAAGCAACAAAAAATTAGCTGCACCTGCAATCAGACATCCTAATATTTCATTAAACATTTCTTTAACCCACACAGAGCGTTTCACATATTATAAATTTCCTTTTCAATAACAATTTTAATAATTTTGATGAGATCATGCAACAGAAAGTAAAGATATTTGTACACAAATAAACAACTTTGAGAAAGAATAAAACAGTTTTAAACATACAACCACTCTATCATAAATTCTTTAGTTATTGCACATGTCATGAATCAGTCTAGAGTTTATGTCCATGAAAAACAAAATGTCTATGCAAGAATCCCTCTAAGATCTGGGGGTACTATGTACTATTGAAAAGCTCACTTTGAATGCTACCAAAAACAGCATAAAATGCTTGAAGCTGGATATACTAAACCAGTGATTCCCAAACTTTTAACTTTCACTGACCTGTGAACAAGTTTCAAAATTTTACCCGGGACCGATGCATGATTTATTTTTACACTTTTATTACTACCGGTATTTGACAATAAATATTTATGTTATGGGGACCGGCAGCGTTAGGCATGCATACCGGTGAAGGTCCACGGACCGCCATTTGGGGACCACTGTACTAGACCATTATGGCACAGAACATCTGACAATGTCAAAAGGCTCAATTTAGCCAGGAAGAAACTTACAGAGGTTGAAAAAGAGGGTGGCGGGAGACCAGATGGGAGGTGGGGCGGGGTTAAGACTCAGCACAAATAACATCATGATCACAATCAATGATATGGTTAAACTTAAACATCAGATATATTGAAAATAGCTTTCTGTTGGTCCCATAGACATCAGATAAAGTTAAAGTGATATACATCAGATAAATTCATAGACATCAGATACAGTCACAGACATCAGATAAAGTCATAGACATCAGATAAAGTCACAGACGTCAGTTGAAGTCATAGATTTCAAATGAAGTCATAAATGTCAGATGAACTCATAAATGTCAGATGAAGTCATAGATGTCAGATGAAGTTATAAACATCAGATGAAGTCATAGACAACAGATAAAGTCATAGACATCAGATAAAGTCATACATGTCAGATGAAGTCATACATGTCAGATGAAGTCATAGATGTCAGAAGAAGTCATAGACATCAGATAATTTCAAAGACATCAGATGAAGTCATAGATGTCAGATAAAGTCATAGACATCAGATGAAGTCATAGACATCATATAAATTCAAAGACATCAGATGAAGTCATAGACATCAGATAAAGTCATAGACATCAGATGAAGGCATAGACATCAGGTGAAGTCATTAACTTTAGATACAGTCATATAGACATCAGATAGTCATAGACATCAGATAGTCATAGACAGTAGATAAAGTCATAGATATCAGATAAAATTGTAGACATCTGATACAGTCATTGGCAAATAAATTTCAGGAGCAGTAAAGAAGTTTGTCACTTTGGCTTGTCAGAGCAATCAAGTAGGGAATGTCTGTCGCTTTGGTTTGTGAGAGCAGTCAAGTAGGAAAAGTTTGTCACTATGGTTCGTCAGAGCTGTCAAGTAGAGAAAGTTTGTCACTTTGGTTTGTCTGAGCAGTCAAGTAGAGAAAGTTGTTCACTTTGGTTTGTCAGGAGCAGTCAAGTAGAGAAAGTTTGTCACTTTGGTTTGTCTGAGCAGTCAAGTAGAGAAAGTTTGTCACTTTGGTTGGTCAGAGCAGTCAAGTAGAGAAAGTAGTTCACTTTGGTAATGATGTAATTATAAACAAAAGCCACAAGCTCTCGAGTTATTTTGTAAAAATTGATAATGATAACAACAACAAAATAAGTTTTTTTTTTTTTTCCTGAATTTTTTTGCAATGTAACACAATAATTTTGATAATTCATTACAATGATTTTATGGCGGTCATCACAAGCTTACATGCATGGCACATGGCAGTGATTCACAATCTGGCAACACATAAAAAAATATTTAAATGCATCAGCTTCAATATCTTTTTTTTTATCAATAGCTAATGGAAACACTTAAACATTGTTATCTATGGATTTACATCAAACAGTTCAGCACATTGTTGACAAAAAAGCTGCGTTATGTATTAACTAAAATCTCAAAGCAAATGAAATAGTTACAAAATAAAGACAGCAGAAGAATTTAGTTACATTACATTTACAACCACTCAAAATGTATCTGCCACCACAGGGCTATAAAATATATCAAATTTATCTTATATTTATATTATTAAGGAAGTCTCCTGAAAGATAAGAACTGGGGTAATATCATGTTGACAGATGTAAAGGAAAAAGGCTGCAGAGTCAGATGTTGACTGGGTTTCTGACAAGTGGCAATCTGGAAATGTGCAGCCTGCAAAATGAGTATTGGAATGACTATGATGAGTACATGCGTCAACCTACATCCCACGCAGCATTGACAAAAACACAACCACTTAGACTGTTTGTATGTGATTGCTTGTCAGAAGCCATTAGCAGGTGGGGGTGGGGTGTGTGTTTAAGTTAAAAATTCATCAGTTTGTGGAAAGAACTTGGATGCTAATCTCTTTTATGGCTTACGAAGCCAGATGGGAGTAAGGTGCCTAGTTCATACTTTATACTTATTTTGGAATGGTTTATCCAAACTCATAGTCATTATTGGTTCAAAACTATTGCAGTTATAAAGTTATATAATATATATATATATATCATATGTAAATTTGGCCCAACATTTAAAGCCAAACAATCACAAGATCGCAGTCCACCCTTTCTATTTTACATATAAATACAAAAGTCTCCATCATTTATTTTCTCTTAACAAATTGGTTTCGTAATGACAAAATGATGAGCTATCACAAGTAATTTATCTTTTATATTAAATGTTCATTGACAGATGCAGAGGAAACCTGGACTCACTCATCACCTCCATCTAATCAAAACATTACTTCCACACTCCCAAAGGACAATAACCAGATCTCCCAAATGTAATTTAACTCTCAAGTTAATGAATATAGAAGCACCACAATTCTCTTTTAAATAAAACCACTGTACAACTGTTTAAAGTCATACCAGAGTTGGAAGACAAGAGTCATTCTTAAAACTAGAGCAGTAGTAGTAGTAATAGAAGTAATAGTAATAATAAGAAGAATAGTAGTAGAAGTAGTAATAGTAGTAGTAGTAGCGGTACTCTTAGAAGTAAAATAAAACTAGTAGATCTGAAGCATCAGTCCAACCAAAATATCGTCTGACTCTACAGCCCAGGCTTAGATAAAACTTCAGGAATGTCTTTCAGTTATCATAATCATAACATTAAATAATTTCATTTTGTTTTACATTAAAACCAACTTGCTTTCCGGGTAAAAAGCCGTCTAAAACATTGTCAGTAATTCATTCAAATTGGTTTTTAAGGATATAATATCAAAGGAGAGCATTTTTGAAATTACGCCTCCCATTCAGAAATAAATTACACATGTATTGTCAGAGCAAGAATATTATTTTGCAAAAGTTTCATAAAAAGAAATTTTAATCCTCTCGATGAGATGGCACAACTTAATGGCAGGGCCCAGCTTGATCCCCATGTATTCTTGAACATTTGGAAGTGTTAGCAAGAGAAGAGCTTGGCCGTCAATCTCCTTTAAGAGCAAACAAAAACAACAAATCCATTATGATATGATAGTCGTATACATAAAAAGTTACAATTAACTTTTACTTGAAACAGGAATTGTGAAATTAATTTTAATCAGGTTTTGAAATATTGGTGTCAATTTTAAGTGGTGTTTTTTTTTGGTCTGAGACAAATTCACACGTGAAACATTTAATTTAGGTGTCCAAACTAAAGACTAATTTTCACACTTTAAAATTGTTCAATTAATTTATTTAATGCTTCAACTTGAAATAATACCGGTACTAATGTGACAATAATTAAAATTGTAACTGTTAATTCCCATGGCTAATTCATAACAGACATCAAATAAAATAACTATTAATTCCCATGGCTAATTCATAACAGACATCAAATAAAATAACTGTTAATTCCCATGGCTAATTCATAACAGACATGAATTAAAATAACTGCTGATTCCCGTGGCTATTTCATAACAGACATCAATTAAAATAACTGCTGATTCCCGTGGCTATTTCATAACAGACATCAATTAAAATAACTGTTGATTCCCGTGGCTATTTCATAAAAGACATCAATTAAAATAACTGTTGATTCCCGTGGCTATTTCATAACAGACATCAATTAAAATAACTGTTGATTCCCGTGGCTATTTCATAACAGACATCAATTAAAATAACTGTTGATTCCCGTGGCTATTTCATAACAGACATCAATTAAAATAACTGTTGATTCCCGTGGCTATTTCATAAAAGACATCAATTAAAATAACTGTTAAGTCACTTGGTTTTTCCACAATGGACATGAATTAAAAGAACTGACAAAGGACATGGCTATTAAAATCACTCTGAATCCTCACGGCTATCATTCTGAAGACAAAATATATAATCAGAAGTTTGGTGGTCATCTGGCAGCTCAGGATAAACTGTAAATCTACTAACCTCTGTTCTCAGCCTAGCCACCAACTCCCTGTCCGCACAGTCTGTGGTTTGTAGAAACTCTCCAACCTCTGCAACAGTCCACTCAAGTGGATTTTTTTCTAACTTAAGTGGCTGCTCCGATTTTAGACTAGTGGGCATCTCAGACCTCATCATGGAAAAACTACTATCAATGAATTGTTGAGGTTCCCTAGAGGATCTTGATGTTTTGATAATCTGCAATAGATTACATATTGTCAAACAAGATTTCTGGCAAGTATAATAGGTCTTTGAATATAAAGCTGAAGATTATGAAAAATTTCTACAAATATGTATGAGACAGGAAATAGTTTTGTCCGTAAAAAATTTTTGAAGAATTAGATCTACATTAAAATATCAGCTTTTTGTCTAATTTCAATCAAATGACTCTTAACCATTACCTTTCTTGCTTAATCCGGTTATTTTATGCTGCTCATTTATGCGGTTACAATTTAAGGCTGAGTGTATTCACATTTGATACTGGATCATTTTTTATAATAAGTGATTTGGTTTTTTCATTCTGAGTGGGTTTTTTTATACTGGGTAATTTTTTGTTTATACACACCTCTTTTCTTGACTTGCTACTCGGCTGTGAGTCCTCAACAATCATAATTTTTTTGTGTGTCCGTTTCTCGAAGCTGTACTTTGGAAGCTTGGCCCCCCTGGTCCTGATTTCAGAAGGTGGTGGAATGTGATGAGTGTATCGCCTCTTGAGACTATTATGAATACTTTTGGAAGTTTTCGTCACAATGCGCTCTTTAGAACCAGAGGTACTGGTACTGTCCACTGTTTTTGTGTCACTGCAGATGCTTGCCTAACAAAACACACACAAAATGGGGGATTGCAATTTAATTTTTTTAACTACCTTCTAAAATGATAAAGCTCTCAAAATTAGTTACATTATCAATATAAATTTTTATTAATAATTTTTAAAATATATTTATTAATTTTGTATTGTTTTTCATCATCAGATTTTATTAGATGAATTATACCGGTAGCCAGTTGATTCCTCCTGTTGCTTAAAAGAGTCATAAATATGTGTAAAGAAATAGATATTTACTTTATCATCATCAGGATTATCTCCCTGCTCATTAACTTCCTGCTGGACTGATCTTTTACCCAGAAACCCTAAGTTTTTCCTTTTTTTGCGCTTTCCTGGTTTCTTCTGACCATTTTCTAGATTGCTATGTCCTCCTGGTGGGCGGCCAATTTTCTTCTTTCTTTTTCCATAGTAATATGCTTTAAAATTATCCAAAAAAAAGTGATGATAATACAAATAAATTGGGAGTATTGAAGCTTAGAGGTGAAAAAAAATTATATGAAAAACTGTATATAAAAATAAACTGCAGCTGTGTAGAAATATGTAGGTGGAAATTTTCATTTGTATCAAATGTCTTTAAATATGTCATTAAAAGTAAATGAGTGTAAGTGTAACCTAAAAACAAATAGTTTTTTAGTTAAAAAAAAATAATTTTTCAAAAACTGAGAAACAAGATTTTTTTCCAGATGACGCATTTAGCCATAAAGGGCACATTGAAAACAATGGAAAAAAGAGATTGTGAAATCAGATAATACATGTATTGCAGGATTAGAATTTGAATACTTACTGTACTTAGTCTTTGTTAGTTGAGCACAGTTTTCAGGACATCTGCCATTTACAAAGTGAGGACTTATAAGATTAGGGCAGCATTCAAGCTTCATGCAAACGTGCCGACAGAACTCCTCTAGTTGACTAGCTGTTCGACAAATTTCAACAATAGCCCTGTAGCTTTTGCCTTTATATCTGAGGATTTTAAAAAAAGATATTGAACAAGTAGCTGTAAACCACCAAAGTCATTAAGAAATTAATAATAATTTTTCCTTGACCAATTTAAACCACGCAGATGTGAATTTAAACTTATTTTTCAGAATTTATATATATATATATATATATATATATATATATATATATATATATATGTTTAAATATATAATCAATAACTCTTTTTTTTAGAATATATTTTAAATACTTTAATTTTTTTTATATTTTTATATATATATATTTTTTATTTTTAAAAATTTATATATATATATATATATATATATATATATATATATATATATGTTTAAATAGATAATCAATAACCCTTTTGGTTAGAACATATTTTAACTACTTTAATTTTTTTTAAATTTTGAAGTATACATATTTTCTTGCGTGGCATTTTTCATTTTTTAAATCCCTTTGAGACGGAGCCTTTTTGGACTGTCTGTGCCAAGAAAACAGAGGCCTTTTCACAAGCCCTGCCCTAACTTTGAAAATGAATTTATTTAAAAAATTAACTAATTACTTAACATATATAAATCTATATATATTCTTGTAGGGATTGAATAAACGATCTTTATGAATCAAACTGAAATCTCAACATTTATGCAAATGAGATATCCTGATTTGCATAGCATAAATTATGCATTCAGTTTTTTCAACATTTAGAACAGACATGTCTTGCTTGCAGAAATTTGTAAAATTTTATTATTGTGAGCCCTACAAAATTCCTAACAAAATTTTTTAATGAGATTCAAATGTGCAAAACTGCATAAAATATTCCCCCGTGGGATGTTAATGCCTTTCGGCATATTTCAAAGTCACATATTTTAAAGCATATAAAAATGACGGATCACCATTAACTATCAATGGAAGCGGCCAATAAAATGGCAAGATGAGCGAAAAATGGGAGAAGCAAAGACAACCCAACCAATCTCGTGGCTTTTATTACTGAGCCGATGGATCGGCGCAGGCGTCTTAAGAGGGTAAAATCCTAGCAAGAAAATTGGGAAATTTGAAAAAACAGAGATATAATTTCTTTGGCTTGCGTTTGTTTTTACTTTTGTAAACATTTAACATGTTTCAATATTGTACATATATCAAAATAAAGGAAGCCCTCAAAACAGATTTCTAGAAATATTTATTCAATCAGCCATTTATTCTGTTTTATCATGTTACCGTTAATATAATTATAAAAAATAATTATTTTTATTGAGCACAAAAGGATCAAATTATAATTCTGACTATCCAGAGCAACTGTTCCAAAGTGTAGTCTTGATGAAAATGGATGACATACTTAAAAGAAGTTTTATATCCATAATAACTGGATCATAAAATACAAGACCAGGTAAACTCAAGCCTGGATGATCAATAACTTGATATTCAGATTTCTACTGTTTATATTTTGAACTTCTCTTTGAATTTAATGCTCCAATACATCAAACAATCACAGAACACTAACTTTGCTTTCAACATTTGTTGGGTCAAATTTGGATTTGGTCGACCCTCAAGCTGAAGCTCCCTTAGAACACGACAAGACTTGTATGCAGTATTGATGAGCATGCTTAAAACCTCTTTCATGACGAGAGTAACAGGTCCAGGACCCACACTCCGGGGTAGTTCAGCTATGCGGCCTTTGCTCAGATATGGTCCAGAAAAACAGCGGTGATTGAAATAAATTTGAGGACCTCCAAAAAGTTCTGAAATGTTATATAAAACAAATTTAGGTCTGGAATTACAAAATCTATTCATTTTATTGATTGTGTGAAAAAATAGAGTAGACCCAATAAAAGAATATTGCATTAAATTGTTTGGGTATTTTGACAAGGATGAGAGGACAATCCTCAGAAAAATATATGGTCCAGTGGTAGACAATGATGGATGAAGAATCCGTATAAACCAAGAGATATATCAATTGTATGAAGACAAATACATATAACCAAAAATATCAATATAATACCTCTTCCACTATTATACTTTTGTTGGTCTGTTTTTTTACTTTCAATCATCCTAAGATCAAAGAGAAAAATAATATAATAGTGATCAAATATTTTACATTTCCATAACAATAACCATATAGTATCAGCTTCCAAATTTCTTTATAAGAAGGCTTAATACACATGGTCATTTTGTAACAATTATTTAATTATTACTGAGTACAAAGATGTCCAACATTAAAACTGACACATATTCTGCTCTTCATGGTTGAGAGAGAAATTATTTTTTATGTTACATAATGAAAAAAAAAATTTCTTTTATAAAACTATCAGATAATGTTTCTAAACTTCATGTCCTTGCACTCAAATTTTAAAAAATAAAGAGGCACGTATATAAAAATTTCAACTTTTTTTGTGCCCCTTTTCCTGCTAGTCCGCATCCCCCTAAACTGGAGCACCATGCCAGTTTTGAAATGATCGCTTTACATAACATTATCTCAGGGGCATATAAAGAATATAAAAATCAAAACTTTGTCTGATATAACCATAGTGGCATGATTTGAGTTTTTCAAAAAATTAAACTTACTCTGGCTGTACCACCGCTATCCTCCGTTTCATAGGTGCACCACCCGAAATCCTTCCAGGTGGTTTCAGCTGGTAGCCATTACTTACGCACCAACCAATGGGGAACAAGTTAAAGGAGTTAACACTCTCCACGTGACTATCCATCAAACGCTTACTGCTGTCTATGTGAATCCACATTAGATGTTCTACAATCTTAGTGATAGTTGCGGCATAAATCTGTGAAGGCTGGCTAGGCTTCACAGCCTCTAACTTCATACCACACTCAAACTCATGGTCTGGTACTTCCTAGAAAGGTTGAACGTCAACAATTAGAATTCTATTAGAAATAATCTACCAGAAAAGTTAAAAATGTTCATACTGTTTATCACTTAATTTACATTATATTTATTAATTACAATTTTGCTAGCGTTTTTAATATAATCACTTTCAATAAAGAAATACTAAAAAACTGAAAAATACAAGAAATTTAAATGAGATTTTAAAATATGTTATTTGCACAGACTGACCTTAAATAAACCATAGTCTTCAACAAGTTTTTAACAGAAATCAGTCTAGGTCTGATACAATATCTTAAAATGTGAAAACTTTTGGATAAGATTTGGGTTTCAAAATGTTGTCTTATGATGATTCAACTCTTAAGGCTCACCAAATTAAAACAGCTGACTGGAGCGGGGCCGGCATTGCAGAACATCAGGTATTCAGACCATCGAAACTCTGACTGATCCCAACCTGTATTGCATTTGAAGACATGAAGCTTGTACAATTCCTTATTAAAATTGGGGTAAGATAGATGCAGCTCTAAGACAATAGTACTAATTGTTCAAAGGTGATTAATAGGCCTACCTTTTTGCCTTATTAAAATTTCATTTAAAATTGTTATTATTATAGGATAAGAGTAATCTATTTCTTGCAACTGTAAATTTACAAATCTATAAAATATGCCCTGAAGAAATAAAAAAATTATTTTTAACCATACTAAATAGTTGAAGTATTAATAAATTATTTTTATTTATTATTTGCAAGCTTTGATTTACATTAATTTTGTTTGAGTGCAATAATATATAGTATTTTAAGTTTAATGATGTATACAGCATTCCCCATAGATTTGTTTCCAAGAACAATGTCACCAGTCCACAAAGTGATATTCAAAATATTGTACCAAATATTAAATGAGTGCCACTAAAATCTCAAATGCCAGCAATAGGCTATTTGATAGCATATAAGTGTAAGCAGGACAGATAACATTCAGAATATAGGCATTCTAAATTGAAATGACTTAGCAGCCATGTCGAGGGTACAGGCTAAATACAAATGGAACCTTAAAGTATGGTTCACATTAGTCAACACAAATGCAAAAATATCTATATACATAGCGAGATTCTATGTAAATTTATGCCATAACATTTACCTTGAGGCATAGTCAATTTAATGCCCTTACTAACAGTCCAGTTCACAGGGAATATTGTTGGAGTGTTTCGGTGGCATGAAAATAAAACTTTTGCATCCTGCTCTACTTTCCTGAGATCATCAATTTCAACAATGAAATATTTGGAGTCGATCACCTCAGCAACAGTAGCAGGGCAGATGTTGTTTCTGTTGTTAGGATCTAGGGCCTCAAGTTTCATTCCAACTTCAAAACTGTGAGACTCAATCATAGGTTGATCCTGAAAAATAGATAGCTTTTCAACTTTGTCAAAGACGACAACTTTTTCTAAACACTGCATGCTTTTTTGCATAATTAATTACCGTATTTATTGGCATATTACACAATAATAGGGGGCAAATGATGTGTGCGTGTTATACGCCGATATAATGTGTAGTTTTTTTTCCTGAAATTTCCTTCTTAAATTGAGGTGCATGTTATATGCGGGGGGCGTGTTATACGCCAATAAATACGGTATATAAATAAAAATAAAAAATAAATAAAAAATTATTTAAAGATTAGTTTATTTTTTTTTCAACAGATTTTTTCATTTTAAATTCATCCTCCAGTTGATTTTTTTGCTCAACAATAATGAGAAGCAGGCAGTTGTAGGAACTATTTTTTCATCAGTAAAATGCATTTCAACTATTTTTTAAAAACTTTGCATGATTTGTATGAATTATTTTAATAGACTGATTTTTACGGATAAAATGAAGTGAAATTAAATAATTTAAATTAAATATAAAAAGTAAAGTTTACATTGAACCTAATTATTGTAATAAACAAATAGTATACAGCTTACATCAAAAATATCTTCTGGCAATTTCTGCTTGGTTGCATCATTGAACGCAGTTTCAATCAAATCTAAGAGTTGTTCTTCAGTCTTCTTTGTGCCATTTTTTACAACTAAAACAACATTCCCAGTAAAAGTCAATTTTATTATTTTTATGACGCAAGGATTTAGTAGTTGGAAATTTAACACAATAAATTATGAACATGTATGTGTTGCTTGAAAATTCCTATTAGAAAAATTATTCAAAGTTTAAATATTTGAAAATCAAATTACATAATAAAAAACGTTTAACTCATTCCCGACGGTTGCGACTAAATGCGTCCTCGGGGGGTCCCTCCTGATGCGTCCAAATGCGTCCCGGCGCATAGCGACACACCTCTCTTATTTTTAGTTTAAAATAGCAATGAAATCTCGCACCCCTCGAGACTTCCGGCTATGGCGTGATTTCTGGGTGATTTTAATTTAGAAACCGGAAGTTTTTATCTTGTTTCACTTTAAAACTACGTGTGCTTTAGTACGGCGCGTCTATATGTACCATGTGTTCGTCCGAGGTGCCGAAAATCGATTTTTTTGGCCATTGTTCGTTATTTTTCCCCCCCGCTAATGTTATATTTATATTAAACCTTATTCATTTTTTGTTGCATTTGTTCTTAATTCATTAACATTAAATAATATTTAGCAACTTAAACAAATATTTTAAAAATATAAATCAATTTCAAAACTGAGTTGCTTCCCTTTTCTCAGGAAAATAAATTAAGTCCGGAAGCAGCGCTGCCGGAGGGAATGAGTTAAAGTATTTTTCATATTATCTAGATCTCTAAATAACATAATTTTTAAATATTAATTTTCTGATGAAACTGACTCAAATAAAAAAATGAGCATAAATCAATTATAACTCTATTCTAATGTAACAAATTACTATTCTTTTTAGTGCAAGATATGTTAATATATTGACGATGAGGATGGAAATATGTGGTTGTTGCAAGTTAAAGGTCGGTATAAAAAATAAAGCCAGGTAAAACCCATCAAGTACCCAATCAGTTTTGGTACAAGCCATGCTGGTTTGTGAAATAAATAGGCAGGTCAAAGGCCACCCTTTGGGACAACATAGAAAAGGTTTATTGTGGATTAGTACTAAATATGGATTCCAGATTCCCAATCAACATTTTATCTCTAAAGAAAAGATCAAGTAGTCATTATTTATTATCAGAATGTATGTTTCCTAATTATATCACCTTAAGCATTTTGAAAGTTTTACAAACCTGCAGGTGGCATATATTTATAACCTGATGGCTTGCACCAACCAATAGGATGCAACCTCTCATTAAGGTAAAACAGCCAAAAATCTTGATTGGCTCCTTCTATGCCTTCATAACGCAAGTACAGTCTGCCTCCAATGTTTTCTATGATCTTCACCATCCAGACCTGGTCAGCTCTGATAAGATCTTGAATTTCCAGTTTCATTCCCTCTTTAATTTGATCCACAGGAGTTGCTCCAGTTGACTAGCGTATAAAATACATTTTAAGTTTCTTATATCATGCTGAATTTCACCTTACCAAATGTAACATGGGTCCCATAGTGGATGTACAGACAAAAGCACAGTTGGCAATTATAGGGTTATTTTAAAGATGTATGTGTATTTATCTACAATATAAATTTGAACATTTCAGAAACTGTTGATTACTCTATTCTGCCACTAATCTCAATGTATTAACATTAATTGCATTCTTTGTGCTCTAATTTCCATTTCACTTAATATAATCAAGACATTATTAATTAAAAATCTTTTTGGAAATTTTTAATCTGTTTAGGTCTAATTAGGTTTTCTATTACCAATAAAAACAAATGTTTCATAAAAGAACATCATACCTTATCAAGAAGATAGGAAGGAGCTGTGATAGCATCTTTTAAACACTGACAAAGAAGTTCTTGCCAATCTGGGTATTTCTCTTGGATAGCTGTCAACCATGAGCATTAGGAATAAAAGGTTTATTCATTTAGAAATTCTTATCATTCATTCAGACATTAATTATGACGAATTGAGAAAATTTAAAGGATGTGAACTTTCAGAGTTGTAATGATAGGAAAAAATAATTTAAGACTATCTTAAAGTATTTGATGGACTTGCGCAAAAATTACAATCTTAATACTGAACCATTTTGATGGTCATGCTAGTACAAATAAGCAAGGCTTTCAAATGGGATGGAAAAACCACCCCATACATAACCAAGTGGTACCAAAGGTAGGGTTAGAATAACTACCCCATACATCACCAAGTGGTACCAAAGGTAGGGTTAGAATAACTACCCCATACATCACCAAGTGGTACCAAAGGTAGGGTTAGAATAACTACCCCATACATAACCAAGTGGTACCAAAGGTAGGGTTAGAATAACTACCCCATACATAACCAAGTGGTACCAAAGGTAGGGTTAGAATAACTACCCCATACATCACCAAGTGGTACCAAAGGTAGGGTTAGAATAACTACCCCATACATCATCAAGTGGTACCAAAGGTAAGGTTAGAATAACTACCCCATACATAACCAAGTGGTGTCAAGGGTAGGGTTCGAATGACTTCCCCATACATATGGGGGCCAAGTGATCGGTTAATGGTTTTTTTTGTTATTGTTTTTTCTCTTAAAGGGTTAAATTTTCTGATGTAGAAAAAGGACGAATGAAAACATTTTTTTTTTAAAACAAGACAGAGTTTTCTAGAATTCTGGCTTTCTATCAATCTAAAGGAGATGGGTCCAGCTTGTAAATGCAGTCCTGGCATTTCATTCAAAAAGAGCCAGGAAAATAAACAGCTTTATACAATTTGACTTCACTCAGTAAGTGTAAGTGTTGAACAAATTATTATAGTGCTCTCTCTCTCCAACTCACTTCATTGCACAGTTATGCATTAAAAACACCAAGACATTTATTTAAATGCATCTTGTATTATTTTGCATGGATTAAATTTAGTATGACCATAGGGTTGAGGGGCTCATGCTTTTACATTTAAAAAACATCAGCTAAAACTACGATGTCAGAAATTATGTTCAATGAAGAATATAATTTATTAAAATGTAGTCAAAGAAAATTTTGTTACAAGTAATTACCTTCTGGTGGCTGAAGTGATTTGTTGTTCATCTTGCACCATCCAATGGGATGAATGTCTGAAGTCATAGGGTCACTCCAAAAATCTGCAGAGCTATTGTCCTTGTATCCTTCATATCGTAGTCTTAGCAAGGGTCCACATGTCATTACAACTGTGGCAACCCAGTATGTGTTAGCATTGTTTTTATTTGGCGCTTCTAATTTCATTCCTTTGGAAAAACCGCTCTGTAGACTAATTTCAACCTGTTAATATAGACAATAATAAAAATAAAAAACTTGAGCAACATATATTTCAAGTGAAAATGTTCATGTTTTTTAAAATAAATCAACAGTACATTACTAATCAAATGACCAAAAATACACATCATTTATTTAAATTATGTGTGTCTGGTTTTTATTCATCATCAATATTATCAAAATTCAAAACAGTCCATGTCTCACATGTTTAAATGCAGTTGGAGGTACAGCTGTCGCGCCAGTTTCCCTCAAATAGTCTTCCCACACAAACTCTGTTTCTTCGAGGTCTTCTACTGCAAGTAAATCAAATAAAAAAATGAGAGTGAACAAAAATTAATTTTTAAAAAGTAAAGAATAATCTCATTTAGTGTCACAAAATTTTAGTGTGATGAACCAGCAGGAATTCATCCGTATTACAACAAGGATGAGTGCAAATTTTATTATTCTTTTCTATAATGAAATTTTTTCACATTTTCAAACCGCCTGTTTCACATACACATACATATACGATAAGTTGTCTATAAGCAGATATACAGTTATATCCCGACTTGCAAGAATTAGCAGTTTTGTCATTGACATTAACTATCCTATCTCCCTCCAAACCTTTCCCACAGGCTCAAGTGCTCCAAGCCCGGGTATATGTATTTGTAATTGTATACATAATAATGTTGAAACTTTTTTTTATATCTGTATGCTGCTATGCTTTTCCTTTATTTCGTGAAAATTGTAATTCCAAAATATCTTTTTTTTTTTTTAATAACTCATTTTTCAATATGTACGTTATAAAATATAAAAAATTTAAGTACCAATAATACCAAATGATGTGTAGCTTTTCTATCACAAAATTGATAATCACAAGTAGACATGTATATATTTATATGGTTATGCTAAACCTCCAACAAAGCCAGACCTACCCACTTCATAAAATTTAGAGGGTTACTGTACTGAGTGTAAGGAAGTTTAATAAGCAAGACCTATATTGTGGGGTTAGATAGTCCAGCTTCATTTCACTAAAGAGCTTATGTTACATCAAGAGTTTGACAAAAATAACTATCTAGATGGTGTTGTGATGACAAATAACTACATAGTTAAGACAGAACATTTTATTTACCATCTGCCAAGTCTCCATGCATGTCCGCCTTGTCAAGCATTTCTTCTTTCTTCCTCACAAGCTCCAAACTCTCAATGGGAGATAAAGAGAACTTTCCATTATCCCTGATAGGTTCCCCACTTTCATACACATCAAGAGTCATTTCTTCTGGTTTTATTTGAATTTCCATTAGATTACATTCTGGGTCAACTAGGTTTTTTAAGAAAATTTCCTTTGTTTCATTTTCTGCACTACAACTGTCATCGGCTGAAGTTTTGAAATGGTGGTTAGGAGATGCCGGCGACATATCCCTATCTATAGGTGTAAATTTCATACGAGAATAACCCAATATTGTCTTTGATTCCAGAGAGTCGTTTGATGGTATTTCTTTTTTGATTCCACTACTGTGAACATCAGAAGTTAACAATGCTGTTGTTGAAGAAACAGACGATGAGGTAGAGAACGATGTAGCTGTGATGCTACTCACCGCTACTGAAACATCTGCATCATTTGAGGACACCACAGCATGCAGATTGGGCATTGAATCACTTGAAATAACGCTAGTTGTATCAGGAGATGGCTGACTGTTCACCTCAATGGATTTTATGGGAAGGGCAATACTCATTGCAGGAGAAGGAAATGAAAATACTGAGACTGGCTGTGAACTCAGTGAAACTGAATTACTTGGCATTTGACTAAGCGAAATTGAGTTTGACAAGTGACTGAGGGACATTTGATGATTCGAAACATGAGACATGGCATTGCTCATGTTGCTGGACATTTGAATAGTCTGGGGCAGAGGACTGGATCCAGGAACTTGATGAACAGATGATGCTTCCTGACTGGGCAGTGGTGTAGCTGTGTTGATGCTAGTAAAAATACTCTGTTGATTTCCAACCATAATAGGAAACTGATGAAAAGGGTTGGATAGAAATGGATTTTGCCCATTCTGATTTGGCACCGTGAAGATTGTTGGGCTCATAAAACTAAGGTTAGGGGTGGCTACAGAGGAGCAAACTACTTGTCCCAGTGGTAGTGACTGGGATACTAGGCCAAGGTTTTGAGGAACTTGGCTAATTGTTATGGAATGGGACACAGGTAAATTCTGCTGATGTCCTGGCTGCTGCTGTTGTTGATTCAATGACATTGCCAGTGCTTGTTGTGACACTGAGAGGGGCTGAACAAACTGAGTGGATATACCGCTTGGGTTCACACTGAATACTGATCCCAATGACATGGCATTTAATTGTGCTGTGGTGGCCATATTTGCAGAATTCGAACCCATGGCCATGGTGGGTATGCCACCATTCCCTATTTGATTACTTGGAAAACAGAAACTTTGAGATAGAGAAACTATGGATCCTCCTGATGAGCCAGGATTTAGCATGTCTACTGAAATAGGTGTGAGATTCACAGGATTAGTTTCCATTGATTGCAATGAGGTAGATGTTGGCAAGTTCTGGATAGGGCTCACTGATGTACCAACAAGTTGCTTAGGATTTAGTGGCATTGCAATTTCTTTTTCTTGTTCATTCACTCCAAATACCTGGAAGACAATAATTGTAAGCATATGCTATTACTTATTGATACTTTGAAACTTTCTTTTAAATTCAATATATGGCTGTTCACTTTACAGCTTTTATTGAGCTTAAAGAAATTACATGGAAATATCTGTTCAAGCCAGGGTAAATGAGAAGAAAAAGATAATAATTCAAGCCATGTGAATGAAAAAGTAGAATCAGGTATGTTGAAGGTTGACTCAAAAGACAGGACAACAAGATGTGAATGTTTCTGCTTTGAGCCTTCTTCGGTGAACAGGACAAATGAAAATATGAAAAGAAACAGAAAGCTGCACATTGCTTAAGTTTTCTTAAGTAGAGGAATATAATAGAATAGACTTAGAGATACCAAAGTGTGCCCCATAGGCCTATAAATATATATATACATAGGCCTACTGATTTGCAATACCCCTAGGCAGTGGTTCACAAACTTTTTTAATCTCATCGCCCTTGCTAAATCTAGCTTTTGCCACAGCCCCTTTGTCAAAATTCTGTTTAAATGACCTACATAAAATAATTAAATAATAAGACTGTGCAAAACTGGACGCTACTTATTTAAAAACACAAAGAAAATACATTTTTAAAATGAAACTTAATTATTGATGAGAATTATTTAGTAACAATTTGGATGATTTGTGGAGACTTCTGATAACACACAAGACAAAGTGAGTTACTGGTTTGCAACAAGTCAACTAGATGTTGCATCCTATCTCATTGAAATAAAAAGGGAAATAAATTATAAAATTACATTTTTTTTTTAAATTTAAAGCACCCCTGTGAGGAAGCTGCTGCTCGCAAAATCCTTCCATTGCCATGGGAAAACTGCCTAATTGCATTATATGTGATGTTACAGATGTGCACTGCATTTCCTTGAATCATTCATAACAAAATTGTGTTCTGTGAATTGTGATTATTCTCCTATTATATTTTATTTATTAAAATTTTATCCAGTGTTAAGTCGAAATTATTGCATAATTATAATCATTTCAAAAATAGAATATGCCATGCACATTATTAGCTTTGCAACAAACAGTTTTACTAAATAATGACTGCATCAGTTAAGTCAGTTAATAATTTCAAATTTCCAACTGTTGCAGCACAGCAGCATTGAGTCATTTGAGAATGCCTATTTTTAATGAGCAACTACAATCAGTCTTAGAATTAGAAGACTAGACAGATGAATGAAAGCATAAACAGTAGGCTATAAAGGGTCTATAGTAGAGTAAATTTAGGATCTAGGCTAACTAGTAGGGCTAGTACACACATCATAGTGACAATTATTTTTTTTTTAATAGTAATATAAATATAGCAATACTACAGACTACAGACTTTTAGTCATGTTTAATTTAATTTCTCAATTTCTGCAGGACGAATATAATAAAAGCGTTTCTAACACATTATAGTGCTTCTGTTTTATTTTATTTATTATTTTATAGACTTTCTTGATTTTTAAAATATATTTATTCATTTACCCAACACAACAGCCTACATTTGTATCATGCCTGTAGTTGTAGTTTATTGATATTGTGATAGTAATAAAAATAGGAATTCTTAAAACTGACTTAGAGACACATTTTAAACGCTAAAACAAGCACTTACCAAAAATCAAGCATTGAGAGAACAATGGAATATTATAACTTAAATATTGAGCTAGATGCAATTTAAAAGAAAAAGTGACAATGTTATATTAACTGATATGTATTTCCTAAAATCTACGTCGAAAAATGAGCCTGTCATTGCAATGATGAACAAAATGGCAACCCATTATTTAACAGCGCATGCGCGATTTTATGCACCTTTTTTTTTTAAATTTAATGATAATAACTTTACTATGCGTAGTGTAGTACTGTATTTACATAACATATAGCGCTTCCTAATCTGAACATAAAGCTACATTAACTTTATCGTAATCTTCGGAGAGATACGTTAATTTTTTAAATTTAAATTTATATAATATAGTGTTTATTATATTGAATTGTCTGAAGGCTGAAGGCATTAATGTCTTGTCTTTTTTGATACATACTACATGCCTATATTCATATAATATATATCTAGTTCCACTATTTATTCACTTTTTTACATTACATGGCTTGAAAGCAGTAAAGTTAAAGTAATGGTTCAAATGACATATTTCTTTGTATTTTTATAAATAGATTTCTAGTTTTAACGTTACATGTTGTTTGGTTGTTTGAATAAATGGCACAACAATTTAATTATATTTAATTTATGTATATTATATCGTAGAAATAGGACTAGTTTATTTTTAAGTTTAGTTATAATGTGGCAGTTCTTGGATTTGGATGGGATACGACCGCCCATCATTATCATGGCCATGGCATGGATGACGGAATGGGGGGGAATGATTTACAAAACAAAACGTCAATTTAAAAAAAATGATCAACTAAATTAAATTATTATTATGTTGCATTTCTTTACACAAAAACCAATACATCATCAAATACAAAACTATTTGTGTATTCAAATCTTGTTTTGTTTTTTTATTCGCTTAAATTTAATAAAATTGTTGTGCGCCAAAGTTAATTAGCATTTCAAAAGCTGTAGCTTTTTCATTTATATTATTATCCTCTCTTAAAAAACTTACTCCGCGAAGCAGTTCCGCGAAGAGCAAGTAGTAATAAGTTACTAAAATTAGTGTTAACTGCTGTACTATAAAATATAATAAATGAAACATGTAGGGGCGTGAAATTTTAAGTACAAGTCATTTCTGGAAAGTAAAACAGCATTTGACTCGGTAGGCATAGATCTATCACTATTATCACTGTCACTTTTTAAAATTCAAAACCACTCTCCGCTTGGATGAAAGTTGGATTTTATCATAAATAACCCACATTCCACAACAGTATGTATTGCTATTTTACAATCCTTTTTAGCCTTGCCTTATATTATTAATTATAGTAGACTAATTGGATGTGGTGTGTGATAGTGATAGTCATAACTCGTGAGATGTCTGTAATTTTGAATGATTTATCCTAATTTGTGAATGTGAAATGTTTTTTTGATAGATGTGTTGGAGTAAGGGTGGAAGAAGCACAATTTGGGCCATGGGAAATCGGGACATGGATTCGGTTTCGGAGATCCACGTTCGTGTTTTTCCTTAGGCCTATACTATACGAAGTCATTGGCGTAGAAAGGTTTTGGGCGTAGAAAGTGTGTGGGGGGAGGGGGTTTACAACCTTAGCCATCCTTTGAGCACTCAACGGATTTGGAGCATTTATAATTTTAAAGGTATTTTGACGCAAGCAGACCCCCGGGACCCCCTCTCCCGGCCGGCTAGCTACGCCCCTGTGTGAGCTATAGTATGCTATACAAATTTAATAAATCATTATTTTTTTTATGCGGCTTGGTCGTTCGTGAATGATTAATTCATGTTCGTTTTTATTGGTGTCAAAAAAAAAGTGCAGACAATAGATATATATACGGACATTAATAAAGCGTAGGCCTAAGAGGGTAGGGTTACCATGCCTTCGGGTTTCCCCGGACGTGTCCTCTTTTTAGGCCCCTGTCCGAGCGGCTTTCCGGAAATATAGCTTGTGTCCTCATTTTTCCCCTGTCCGTCCCCAATCGATACCTTCTTACTTACTTATTCCGTGTTTTATACTATTCTATTCTGTTCCGTGAACTTAACACACGCTCAACAATTACTAAGGTTACCACCGAAATGTCTGGTTCCGGAAGCCATTTTTGTAAACATAGCGCAAGACAGTAACTAACGCGAGTTCTTTATACATAATTGAATTTTCAAGTTTAATATTTTTGAATATTTGATTTGAACAATGCCGAGGTGTACATTTTTTATTTACCGACGCACTTAAAACCCAATTGCCAGGTTTTCCTGCAGGTCGATAGGACTAAGAGGCTGAATATTTGACATGGGGCCGCAGAACTTGCATAACTTGAATATATCTCCTTTGCCAGTAAGATCTGGTAAGGGCAAGGGTGCCCCAGCCTAGGCCTAGGCGCATGTCCAAACGCCGAAGCATATTAAGACTGATAAGAGTGTTCTCTGAAAAACTTCATCTACCAAAGTTACCAGTTACCAAATTTTTCGTAACAACGGTTTCCAAATAAAATGATGAAACATTTTTTTTTTTTTTTTTTTTGGCCGCAAAAGGCGTTTTGGCTTTTTTAAGTTACCAGTTACCAAAGTTTTCGTAACAACGGTTTCCAAAAAAAATGATGAAACATTTTTTTTTTTTTTTTTGGCAGCTAAAGGCGTTTTGGCGTTTTACGCTGTCCAAAGGAACCACCACGCTATCAATTCTTCTGCTTATAAATCATACTAATAGACTGCAGTTGTCGCTACTTTATAAAAATTAATATTTTTTACCTGATTTTGGAATGACACGCAAAAATAAGTTTAATGTAATGTGTACTGAGTACTCGTTAATACAAGTTTATAATTAAATCCATTTACAATAGTAGCCTACACTATTTTATGTAATTTAAACTTTGCTTTTCTCTGTACCAACACTTGAAGGCGCTAACATCGGCTTAGGCGGCATGGCCCAAGGAGCCGGCTGCGGGTTTGGAACCGGATTTGATGAAAATTGTGTGCGTCAAAAAAGATTGGCCCGCCCCGGTCGGCACCATCTCTAGTCTCTAGCAACACTACTGTTCAATGTAGGCCTACTCCCAGAATTAAGCTCGCAATTAAAAATCGACCCTTATTGACGTTTATAAGGTGACATAAAGATGTGCACACAGATTCAAACATGCTCAAAAGACTCATAAGCCATAATATTTATTTAAAAAAGAAAAGAAAAATAATTTAGTTTTAAGGGTTATTCATATTTTACGTATATGCACTGGGAGGAGAAGGGAGATTTTTCGTAATGCGAAAGTAGAGAGAGGTTGGCTCTACACTACAGAATGTACAAATCCACCTCAGTGTTTCATAATCACTGTCCTTGTGTTGCTTTACTTTATGCTTTCACAAAACGTTAATTCACTCGGTAGATATCGTAACAGTAATAATAAGTCTAGTTCGTGTGTCGAATTTGTGACCGAATTATTTCGTTCGAAAGAACCAAACATTATATTCGCTACATCAAACAGACAGTGGTTGCGAAAAGAGAGAAAATCTGTGACATACTTTCGAAACGATTTACGGTGACTTCGTCATAACTGTCTGAAAATAAATTGAAACGTGGGTGGGAAAGGGGCGTAGGAAGGGTGGGCAGCAATGTTCCCTCTAAGGTTTGCTGGTTCGTGTGCAAAATCATATAGTTGTGTGCAAAGTTTTACGGCATCATTTTTTTTTTTTAATGCAAAATTTTACAGCTCACAAATACAAACACACACGTACATGGAAATTTGCTGCGGGATACTCAAAACTGCTGCGCGGCGACTGTGAGATAGCTGCGCGGCCGCGCAGCCGCGCAGCTTAAAGGAAATATTGGTGGGCAATGGAGGAAATCCGCACCGAGAGGATGGTTTTCCTTTTATAATGGGTGGCATTTTCGGTCAAACGCAAAGTTTCGTTTTGTTGTTTTTTTTTGTATGAAGGGTGTGAAGAAAATGGAGAACTGCATTATTGCAAGTGCGCAGCCTTGTTTCACTCCGCTGCCGACTGGGAATGCCTCATAGACTGCGCCGGTGAAGGTTACTGTGCATGTTTTCATCCAATGGCCGTATGATTGTGAGCAGTCGTGGGGGGCAACCTATTTTGTGCAAGATACTAAACAGATAACTCCGGCTTATCAAGTCAAATGCCTTGGGGAGATCTACGAAAGCAATGTAAAGAGGCTTATGGTTTTCATGGCACGTCTCCTCAACTGGCGTAACGAGAATATCATATTTACAGGAACAACCACATTGGAGGTCACACGGGAAGTTTGGGTGTATATTGCGTTAATTTAATCATCTTAATTACAAAAATTCAGTGTGTGTTTCATAAAGGTACCAACACTGCCATTTTAATTTGGTGACGCAACCCTTCTCATAAAAATTCAAAATCAATGGGTGCAGCTTTGGCGTATACTTGAATTCAATGTTTCTTTTAAAAAAAATGATCCAGAGAGGTGACATTTCAGGGGGACAGGACATCCATCAACGCACAGATTATGTATTAGGGCACCGAGTGTCATGCACAACTTGAAATCACTCCGGTTGTGGAGCACCCGAGAGCGTTCCTTTGGCCACAACTTAGTTTCGCCCCATTTGGCCACATTGACCGGTACGGGGGAGGAGGTAAAGCATCAATCGAGGGCGTCGAAGGCTCCCGAGTGAATGTATTGTAGGGTAAGGGAGAGGGTCATTGAGTCATTCCAAAGACAACTTTTGATAATTAAAAATTTATTGATTCACTTTGGCGCACACCATATAAAGTTTTGCAACATTCTGCACTTAATCGGAGAGCAACAAAATGTGGGTTTCTCTCAACCTGGTTGTGGTTCAACACTGACGGAGGGGCGGCATAATCGGACAGTCACGGAGTTTTTATCGTGGAAGGGAGCGCGGAAAAACTCTGTGCCCGCCCATGGCAGCACCATACTAGCTAAGTTACCTGGCGGTGAATCTCTCAGCGCCAAAATTGTGGACCAGGGCCAGCTTTACTGTCATTTTTATTTGGATATGGAGCAGAAATTGAAGATAGTGATGGTTACTAAGGTGCATTTTGGCGTATACCTGAATTCAGTTTGTCAATTTAGATATTTCGAGCGATGAGGAAGAATTTTTTCAAGTGATCCCGAAGAACATCTATCAGCATGCAAATTAGGCATATGGCCCCCAATGATATAAATAACATGAATTTATTCGCGTTTCGGGTTGCCATATGGTGATCTCTTGGAACACGCGTTGATATAGCCCAGTACTTCCACTATGATTGGCGTGAGGAAAGTGAGCAGCAGAAATTCAGCGTGCCGAAGACTTCGAGTAAAAACGGACTCATGGTCTGAGTACGGGGCTTACTGAGCCACAGACGCATGGTCTGGGTACGGGGCTTACTGAGCCACAGATGCATGGTCTGGGTGCGGGGCTTACTGAACCACAGACGCAAGGTCTGGGTAAGGGGCTTACTGAGCCCCTCCCCAGAAAATTTTTATAAAATTCAAAATGCAAGAATACATTTTTTCACTTACCTGAACAACTGGAATTAAGACTTTGATTTATATTAAGGAGCGGCTGATTTTTAAAATAAAGCGATATTTATAATCCAATTCTTTAAGCCTGCAATGAGATTAGCCGTAGATATAGACAGTTAATCAAATATATCCAGTGTAATCGGTGAAAAGCACACGTTGCTAATAAAAGTGTTATAAAAATGTTGTTGTTTGTTTTGTTTTATATAAACTATATATATATTTATAATGTATTTTCGCTTTTTTTTTTTTTTTTTTTTTTTTTTTTTTTTTTTTACATTAACCTCCGGTTGTTCTTTGCTTTTTTAAATTTTTTTTTTTTTTTTTTTTTTTTTTTTTTTTTTTTTTTTTTTTTTTTTTTTTTTTTTTTTTTTTTTTTTTTTTTTTTTTTTTTTTGTTGTTGTTCACATTAACCTCCGGTAGTGCTTGACTTTCTCAAAGGGGCGGGGGACTTCCTCCCTTCCCAGGACAGAGGCCTCAAAGAAAGACTCGGGTGGACATTATCCGTTGCATGTATGCAAAGGTTGGGGGCGTGTCCAAAATGGACGATTAAAACAAGGGGCAGGGGATAGGATTTTTACTAGATCTTCTTTGCATATCTCATGTTTGTATGGTCTCTTACTCAACACTTGGTACAAGTGAGATCAAATAAGAATGTCCTTACTCGCCAACACACAGAACACGCTAACCTGTCACCCTCAATCGCGCACACTTTTTTGTTGTTGTTTTATTGAATAGATTTCTTAATGCCAAACTTTTTTTTAAAAATCAAACTTTAACCACAACACCGTGGCGTTCCTTAGGGGGGCGAGGAGGTGTTATATACTATAACATTTTATATACGGTAAGTGTGTGTAGGTGTAATGAGGTTTTCACTTTTGGGAGTTCGCCCCGGTCAGTACTTGCTCAAGTCAAGGTACGCGATTGACTAATAAAGGTTAATACTCAAAAAGGGTGCGAGATTACTCTCTTAGGACCCTCGACACGATGCTTACGGCGCGCCTCATCTGCTGGGCGCTTCCGTAAAGGAGGTCATTAAGGCAGGCCTCCGGATTCCTACCGTTGGCCCCCATCCCACTGTCCGGACACGTGACAACCAAGTGGGCTACTGTCTCCTCTTCGTGTCCACATTGTCGGCACAAAAGTTCCCTTCTGTTATCGAGTCGGTAGAGATAACTGCGCGTGGCGCAGTGCCCAGTTCTCATCTGTGTGATAAGGCTTTGTTCTCTACGACTAAGCTCCCACCATGGGTCGCTTTTGCTCGGCCGCTGGAATTCCCGGTAAAACTGTCGTCCAGTAGTGGCCGTGTCCCACTTTCCAAGCCATTTTCTCCTGAAATGGTCTTTCAACCAGGCAGTGACTCCGACCTGAGTCATGGGATTGTCTGGTTGAGGTAGGGCTGCGCCTTCTTGGGCTAAGAAATCTGCCCTGTCAGGAAGCGACGCCTCTAAGCGCGAAGTGATTAGCTGGAAGATTACCTTAGGGCCATGTGCATGGATGGAGCCTACTGTTTCCAGAATGACAGTGATCTTTGTTGAGCCCACCGATTTCTCCCCCATGAGTTCGAGAGCAGAACGAGAGTCGGTGAAGACCACAACGTCCGGGAAGGACTTCCGATTGGCTAGCCGTTGGTTCAACCTCTTAAGAGCTACCAGTATCGCCTCAATTTCCGCATCGAGGCTTGTTGCATTCCTACCGCATGGGCCTGATAGCTCCTCGGGTGGAGCTATCTCTGCGGGATACTGGATGAGGACACCATAGCCACTACGCTTTTCCTCCGTGAAACATGAGCCGTCCGTAAAGACTTTAACCAAGCTGTTCGGGTAGGCGTCAATCGTGCGTTGCACAGCCTCTGATGGGTCTAATTGAGGACTGCCTTCGCTGGCTTTGGCATCAACCATTTCCAGTCGAATGTCCGGCAGGGGAAGACTTTTGTGTGGTCCCCGCGCGGGGATCACTTTCACTTTTTCCCTGTTTCTGGGCAGAAAGACGTCTTTTTCAAGACTGTGAACCATGTCCATGAAGGATGGTCGCTTCAATCTGGACTTTTTCTCCCATTCGTCCTGTAATTTGAAACAGGGATCCTTTCTGTCCATGCGGCGGTAACGCTCTACCGTCGTAAGGACTGCCTTCTCTCGCCTGACCTCGAGCGGTTCGACATTGGAAATGATCTCCACCGCCGCCGTGGGTGTGGTTCGTATTGCCCCGCAAACAAACCTTAGAGCACGGTTTTGGATGCGGTCCAGTTCCTCCAAAGCCGTATGGCTTGCGAAGGCTAGGACGGGCAAACTGTAGTCCATTGTTCCTCTCACACTGCTAAGGTAGAGCGATCTCAACAGTCTTGCTTCTGCACCCCATTCAGTGCAAGCTAGCTTTTTCACCAAGCCCAATTTTTGTGAAGCCTTGGCACATAGTTCGTGCACGTGGTGATGGAGTCGGAGTTTCTGATCCAACTTAATCCCCAAGTAGACTGGAGTCCTGTCCCATACCAAATCTTTCCCATTTATGGAGAGTTTAACATCGGTCTCAAGCACCTTTCTTCCGTTAGTGAACTTAGAATAGACCGTCTTCTCAGTGTTCACAACCATTTTCCACCGTCTCGCATAGTCCTCGATGGTATGGAGATCGTTTTGCAGCCGGTTCTGCAAGTGGTTGATGTTAGGACCAGAAGTCCAGATTACTAGATCATCAGCGAACATGGCATTATCGGACACTAATCCCTCTTGCAAGTCATAGACATAGGCCAAGAACAAAGTGCAGCTGAGGGCAGACCCCTGGGGGAGTCCGTCCTGTAGAGCAAGCTGCTTCGATAGACTATTGCCAACCCGTGTGACAATATATCTGTCCTTGAGAAAGTCCGTCACCCACCCGGACATGTTTCCAGTGACACCCAACTTCTGGAATTTATGCATGAGGCCAACGCGCCACACGCGGTCATATGCTTGCTTGAGATCAAAGAAAATTGCCAACGAATGATTTTTCTTCTGGAGTTCATTGGTCATAGACTGAACAAGACGGACCACCTGGTCCATGGGCTGCCTACCCTTACGGAAGCCACCTTGCGTCGGTGGTAGGTGCTTTCCACTCTCCAAAAACCAGTAGAGTCGTCCATTCACCATTCGCTCGGCCACTTTGCCCACACAGGACGTCAGCGATATTGGCCTGTAGCTACCTGGTAAATGGCCTGGTTTTCCCTCCTTTGGTACGGGAACCACTATGGCCTGCTTCCACACTTTCGGTAAAATACCTGTAGTCCAAGTTCGGTTAATGAGAGCCAGCAGAAGTTCTCTCCCCTGTTTACCCAGGTGGGTTAACATTTCATTGTGAACTTTGTCTGGGCCTGGTGCTTTCGCCGGCAAGCACTTTTTGAGCGCGGTTTGCAATTCTTCCATTGTGAAGGGAACTGTGAATATCTCAGGGTGGGGTCCAGTACGCTGGATACGAGCTCCCCTTATCTTCAGACGGCGGATTTCCCTGTGCTCGTCAGTCTCCTTTCTTACTTTTGACTCATTGTTCACTGCGGCAAAGTGAACATTCAGTACATTGGCTCTTTCCTTGTCGCTCGCCACGACACCCTTGTCCGATAGTACTGGCTGCGGGTTTTTGGCCTTCCCCGCACCAGAGAGACTTCCGAGCAGATTCCACACCTTCCTACCGTCCAGAAGATTGAGTTTTTCACACGCGCTAACCCACTTCGACTTTTTCGCCTTTTGAACAGCTGCCCGGACTTCAGCCGTAAGTTGATTGTAGCCAGCACGAGCAGCCGGTGTTTTCTTCCTCGCGGCTTCTTTCCGAGCTTTTGCTCTACGCTTCACGAGTTTTGCAAGCTCTTTGTTCCAAAAAGGCTTGTACGGTCGCTTCCCGGTCGTTCTCGGGATCGTCACACGGGCGACCTCTAGGAGGACGTCATTGAACTTCTCGAAAGCAACATCTAAGTCTGAGTCGGCCACATCGACTGCAATTAGTCCGAGCTTGGTCTCGCACTGACTTTGGAAATCTTGCCAGTTGGCTTTACGAAAGAGCCAGTGGCGTTTATCGCACTTGGTTTTGGCCTGTCCCAAGTCAACCCTAAGCAGTATGGGCAAATGGTCGCTCCCAATGTCGTCAAGGACACTAAGGACCTGATGTCCCGCGAGATCAGCGGACACGAGCGTCAGGTCTGGCCTGGACTCCGTTCCATGGCCGTAATGGAGAAGAGTGGGCGTGCTCTTCTCGTCTTGAAGCCTGATAAGGTTGGTCTCGAGACATACCTCTTCCACGTGCTTACCAGAGCCGTTCCGCTCTGGATAACCCCACATGGGGGATTTGGCATTGAAATCTCCTGCAATTATAGTCCGTTTAAAGATCGTCTCCCCGTGGGTGGGGATCGTGATCACATTGCTTGGAGAATTGTAAATGTTCGTCACGGCGAACGTTTTCCCACATTTAGTGACTTTTACTGACAGGGTGTCAGTATTGGCGTAACGCTTACACTCGATGATCTCCACCGTGAGATCATTTCGCACCGCTGTGGTAATGCCTTGGCATCGCCCACACTTGCAATGGTATAGCGAGTAACCAGTGATGTGAAACGGCTTCCCGTGAAGCATTGTTTCTTGGAACAGTCCTACATCCACGCCGTGCTCGTGGAGTAGTTTGGTTACTTCGTGTGACTTTTGCCTGATTCCACACACATTCAATTGTAACACAATCAGGGAATATTTGAGGTGTCCCGTGCCACCTATTCGTTCTCGACCAGTCGTTTGTTGGCCTCGCACGCGCCTGTCAAGCGTCACACGTGCGAGAGGGGACGCCCTCCCCAAGGGGACATCCGCGGGGAGAGGATGCAGTCCACGCACCACACCTGTAGCTTTACTCGGTCCCACCCAGTCTCCCGACAGTGGGTATCGAGGGCCTTTTGAGGAAGCCACGGTCGGAGGGGCAGGATCGTGTCCAAGCCCCCCCCCAGTCGAACCTGCGTTAATGATAGATTTTGCATTGTCATGAGTAATAGTGGTTTGAGCAAAATATCTTCCTCCCAGTGAAAGAGGGCTTTGCGTCGCCCCCCCCCCTAGCTCAGTGGGTCCTTCGGACATGGACGTGTGTGATCTTTGGCTTCCGGAAGCAAGTCCGTACTGGTCAGCAACGCCACGAAGAGGCAGATCACGTGTACACCACTCGAGCAAAGTGGTGTTGGTTTCCCCAGTCGGCACAAGCAGCTGACATGGGGAAATCATGCTGCGCGATTGACTCAATTGGTCTATTTAGTAAACCGGATTTGATAATTGCTTTATATCTATTATATATGCATCATATAGGCCTAAGCATTATATGTGTGTGTGTGCATCATATAGGCCTAAGCATTACATATATATGTGTGTGTGCATTATTTAACTTTTTTTAAAAATTATTGCATTTTCCTTATTCAGTTGATAAGTTGCCTTTGCCATTTTCGAAAAGTCACGCAGCTAATCACAGGCTGCTCACCTCAACACTAGAGACATGAAAGTGTTACATTTTTATAATACAGCTGTTTGCGACTCTCCAACTCTTTTTTCAGCTGTTGTATTCACCATGCCCCCGAAGAGAAAAGCTGCGAAGAAGGCGGGCAAGTCGGTGAGCGCCAAGAAAAGTAAAGCAGACGACTCGTCGGATGTTGCAGCTGCTGATACCATGAAGGATAAAATCGCCAAGCTGAAAGAGGCTGATAAGAACACGATAAGGAAACACAAACCCGATTCATTTTTTCCAGGCTCTCAAATTGCACAGGTAGAGATGAGTGTATGTAATTCTGTGTATGTAATTATAGATTGGCCTGCTATACATAAACTCTACCGGGTTGGGTTTTTTTTTCTTCTTCATTGTGGCTGATAATACCTAAATGCGCCCAAATGGAACATGGTTGGCAAGGGGGCGGATATAGACATTAAGATTTACCCAACTGATGCGTATGGAGAGAGGGGGTGTCGGATATCGACTTTGAGATTTACTCAACTGATGAGTATCGAGAGAGACAGGGGGGGGGCGCTCCACGCTAGACAAATACGACAGTACGCCAAAAATAATTATCAAAGTCATAGAGTCCCGAAACACTGCTGTTAAAAAAAAAATACGCACAAATATTTGTAGCGTGAAAGAGTTCTTTATTCTTTAACAGCCGTACTCAACATTAGTGCACCCGTTGTGTGGTTTCTCGTTGGTTCTGTTGTGAGTAAAGAGATGACTCTCAGTTGCATAGGGCTTTTTGACAGACACATCTTAAAAACATTGTTGTTGTTTGTTTTTAAAGATTTCGTTTTTTATTCGTTGTTGCTTGTTGTTGTTTCTTTAGGTTTTAGTTGTTGATTTTAAAAATAAAGAATAAATTATAATATTTACTTTTTGTATTGGGATTAAAGCAAAATATAAATATATAAATATACTCGTTTTATATATAAAAATATAGATTTAATCGTTTTATCTTTAAAATATGCATTGTTTTATGCCACGAGGGGGAGAATTTTTTATTTTTTTTTTGGGGGGGGGGGGGGGGGTGTTTCGCCACATTTCGGAAAAAGGCGCATACATTTCTTCACATAGAGCAGTGGCGTCACTAGGGGGTGTGGGGATGCAGACCGCAGCGGGTAACAACCTCACATGGAGGTGAAAGGTGAAAGCCAAAGGTAAATGAAAAGTTGAGTTCGCTCGGTTTGTTAACAGAACTCATTTTAAGACAATAACAGGGTGCCACCAGAAAGCATGTCACCAGAGCAGGGTGTTACAAGAACTGGGTGTCACCAGCAAGGTGCTGTGGGTGTCACCAGCAAGGTGCCGTGGGTGTCATTAGAGTCGTTTTCAATCAGGGTAGGGTACCATTTGAGCAAGATTCCACATCTCAGGGTCGGGATCTCTCATAACCCTCTCTAAAGACGACAATTATTTATCACGATCTGTGTGTCTCTGGCTTCATGTGAGAGGAGCTTTTCCAAATTTAAACTTATAAAGAACTATTTAAATTTTGCAATCTACTATAAAAAAGTCCACACTTTCGGTCTTGTGATTTTGTTCATTTAAAGGTATAAGGTGAAAATGTAGATTTTGATGAAGTGATTGCCGTGTTTGCATCTTTGAAGACCAGGAAAGTAGAGTTTTGACTTTAAGTTTTAATAACAAGTTGTTGTTTTTTTGTTGTTGTTGTTTTTTTTGTTGTTGTCGTTGCATTTTTTAAACGCTGTTAACTCGAATTCTGTTGTCTTCCTATGTCTTTTCTTGCTCCAGGACTCAATTTACAAATAATACTATAGGCTGATCTTTTTGATCTGGTTAAGAATCACTCGGTGTGTGTAGGAGGTGGGGTCCGGAGCGGCTGATAATAGCGTAGATAGGGTTAGTGCAGCCAAGTGTGGGGGCCTTTACCCAAATGCTGCCCCTCCACATAGTGGTAAAAAGTTCTGCCCGAGACAGGCCGCCCCTTCCTACGCCACTGGGGTGACACCATGAGCTTACTTCACCTAACATCAACCCTAGTGACTCTTTTGACATAGCGAGCTGAAAATTGTTTGAAAAATGTTTGGTTTTTACAATTATTTTAAAATCACTTCCTTTCTACTCCTCTTTACTTTGTTTTTGTCTGGTTTTAGCGCCCTCTCCTATTTTTCTGTTTTAGGTAGGATATATATATTTATATTATGTAAATTTAATTTATACTTATTTAAATGTGTTTTTTGTTTGTTTGTACTGATGAAGGCATGTGCCGAAACGTTTACTTGTGTATAATGTATAACTATTATTAAAGCGTAACTTGTATTGTTATATTGACACAATTTGTTCAATGAGCAATATTTTTTTTACCTCATCGTCCCCTTACGCACTGAGTCATGTTGGGAGGCACTCCATCTCCACAATCTCCTCACCCAACCGACTCTACTATTCCCCTACCTACCTCCTCAACTCTCTTTTTAGCATCCTCCACCAACGTTTAAATGTAAAAACTTCAGCCAAGCTGCGGCCCCTATTTGACCAGACAAGCGTACGCTGCATAGCAACATGTATTCATCAATACTTACTGTTACCAGACAAAAGATGTATAAACGTTAGAGCCCCTAACCTTGTATAATAATCATCGTTTGATATGAATTAATATTAATAGCAGCAAACTCTTGGCGACCACTGTTTGCGATAAATGTTAGTTTAATGTTAGTTAAATGTTAGTTAAATGTTAGATAAAGGTTAGTTAAATGTTAGATAAATGTTAGTTTAATGTTTGTTAGTTCATGTATTTGTGATTATTTCCATCTCGATGAATGCCAGGTCCATGAAGATTATGATGCAATGCTGAACCAAACCAACATTGGGCAAAACAACAACAAATTCTACATCATACAAGTTCTTAACTTAAATGGCGTCTATTTCACCTGGAACAGATGGGGTCGAGTGGTGAGTGTTTCAATATCAGATCACTTTAGGAAAGTTAGGACTAAAGAATTTATGATATCAACAATGTGGTTTATTTTAATTTATTTAATATTCATTTAAGAATTTTTTTAAAAGTCTTGATATCAGGTATATTTTGTTTAATAAAGGATCTTCTTATTGTATATTTTGAGGGCCGCGATCAATGAATTACTCATTCTGGCTCCTATGTTTCAGAGGGGTTCGCGATGTAACTGTGAATTGTTTTTCAGGGGATACTTCACTGGTTGCAAGGGGTACTCAGCAATGGTTATATTATGAACTGGGGGTAGGAGGACAGTCAGGTGTTAAGTGTAGTCGCCTCAACTGTTGCTTTTGGAAGCTTGTTCCGGTCCTTTATTGTCTTTGGCAGGAATCAGGAGCTCCTGTACTGCGTTCATTTATTTTTTTTATTTTATTTTTTTTATGAGCCGGAACTGCCTGGCATGGCCTCCCAATTAAAATATAATTAATTCATAATCATAATTCTTAAAAGCATGCTACGCTAGTTTTCAAAATCTTCTCTGTGAGGTGTGGGATCATTCTCTTCTCTATGGGGCGTGGGAGTATACCGTACAATACCTACTCATGGGGTGTGGAAGCATCCTATCAACACCTGCTCTATGGATATGAGTAAAAAAATTATTATTAGATTTTCAAAGTAAAGGCCAGTTTTTCATGTGAACACTTTCATCACCCAATTATTTATTTTTTTTTTTTAAATTCCTTTTCTCAGCCGATTACAAACGATAAGATACAAAATGAAACCGGACACTCGTATTGTTTTGTTCCATAGGGGGAACCAGGGCAGAATGCTAAAAAAGGACCGTTTAACAACGTCGACGTGGCCGTTAAAGACTTTGAGAAGAAGTTCAAAGACAAAACCAAAAACGCTTGGAGTGACCGCCACAAGTTCGTCCCGGTCAAAGGAAAATACGTCCTGCTGGAGATGGCCGGGGACGAGGACGTTGACCAGGTGGATTCGGGTGCCAAGGTCAGGGTTTTAGAATAGTTGATCATATTACATGTACAGGAATATAGATGTTCCTTGAGATCAATCGTGTCACCAGAACAATCAATGCAGAGACTTGTTACGTAACTTATTGATTGGAGAACGAGGGGGGGGGGGGGTGAATCGTGTCTGTCCTTCTTTTTCGAAAGGTGTGAATTCTATAAATGAAATTGACTTAATAGACCAACCTACTACTTCATCTAGTTTAGTGATTCTCAAAATTTTTCAGGTCACCGCCACCCTGGGACCATAAACTCACCCTAAACGCCATGTCAGGCCCCCCACCACGTCTAACCCCATTATAAGCATTCTCAGCCCTTAACACGACCCTTTGTGATAGATAACTACACAACTAAATTTTGGTGTGTAACTACACAACTAAATGTTGGTGTGTAACTACACAATTAAATGTTGGTGTGTAACTACACAATTAAATGTTGGTGTGTAACTACACAAATAAATGTTGGTGTGTAACGACAAAACTGACTGTCGTGTGTAATATACATATATAAATATAAATATATATATATATGAATATGTCAATGAAACACAAAATAAACTATTTACTTTTATGAGCTCATTAATCCATTAGCTGAACATATTGGATCAAGCGAAACCTCACCTTTTGAATGTAGGATAATTATAAGAGATTTAGACATCTAACTTTTTCTCATAAGGTGATAAAGTGCATGGGTTTGGTAAAGTGATAGCATTTGTCAGTGCCTGGTTTTAAGTCTCTTCGCAAAAAATATATTGACTATGTTCATATTTCTATGCCATTTCTTTGTTTGAACAAGGAATTACGATCACAATAAAACCACCTTCTAACAAATAAAATAATGAAAACGCAGCAAAGAGCTTCTTAAGAGCCTTTCATGGTGATGAGTACGATAACAAACTCATGCTGTGGCCAAAACTCTTGATATTATTTCTTAAAATTTGGGTTATGCTTTATAACATTTGGCTGAATGAACCCTCAAATCTTGAACTACTTACTGCCTAATTTATGAGCATGGATTATCGCTCAATCTGGGTTGTCGATCAAAAGACAAGTCTGTCATTGGTCGGACTATCTTAAGTAGAATATCCTAACCGTGGCATGGCAAAGTACATATAAGATAACATTCTTGAGGTGTTCTTTAATTTCAATATTTTCGTCTACCTCAGAAGGGCTTGGAAACTAGTAGAACTCGAGGTGATCAATATTGCGCTTGTGTGGAAATAATGTTGTTATACCCACCGCCCCTTTGACGGAAGGTACTGCCCACTTTGATAACCACTGATCTATTTTAATTATTGATTGTTTTTCAACCGTCATATCTACTATCTATACTCATATCTACTATTGTGCACTTAGTAACCATAATAATCATAGTAACAGCCCTAATACTATTTCTGTGTATCAAAATATTTTCAGGACGACTCAACGGGTGACAGGGCGACTGCCCCTTGCAGTCTGGACAAGCAGACGGCAGATTTAATCAAACTGATTTTTGACAATGACATGTTCAGCGCCGCTCTTCAGAAGTTCGACATTGACACAAAAAAGATGCCTTTGGGGAAACTGAGCAAATCTCAGATCGCCAAAGGTATTTGCTTACTTGCTCATTATTCATTTGAGCTTCATGCTTATACTTATGCTAATACTTATACAGGTCACGGATGAATACGTTAGTTTTTAAAAAAATGAATACAAAATTTACGCCACTGGTAGACAGACATAAACCGCAAACAAAGTTACTCATAGAAGAAGACACTAAAAAGAAAACGTTTTAAAATGGCATTTTATTAAAGAAGATGGCAGGAAGCATTATGGTTCTGTATTTCTACTCTCTAGGCCAGGTTCAATTGTGTTTAAATTGTTGTATGGAATTAAATAATTTAATTTTAAGAATGAGAGTGTTGGGTGGCGATAAAGCTTTCAGGAAGATTTATTAGAGACAAGCAATTTGTGTAAACAAAACAATGTACGTTCAGCTTTAATGATCATGCTGAATACAAATGTAAACGTTTCGGAAAATGCCTTCATAGGTACAAAAAAAACAACAACATTCATATAAGTATCAATTAAAGTTACACAATATATATATACAGTGTAAAAAATATTGTATGTGATCTTTCTCTCCGAAAAGGCTTTGAAGCACTAGAGGCTCTGGAAGAAGCCATCAATAAAAAACAGTCAGCATCGAAAATCAACGACCTGACATCCAGCTTCTATACCATCATCCCCCACAGCTTCGGCCGGTCAGTGCCCCCGCCCATCAAGACCCTGGAGGAGATACAGAAGAAATACGACATGTTGGCGGTATGTGCTGTAGAAATATGACCATGTGGGTGACATGTGCTATAGAAATGTGACCATGTGGGTGTAGTGTGAAATAAAAATATGACCATGTGGTGGAATGTGCTATAGAAATGTGACCATGTGGGTGTAGTGTGCAATAGAAATATGAACATGTGGTGGTATGTGCTATAGAAATGTGACCATGTGGATGTAGTGTGCAATAGAAATATGACCATGTGCCAGTATTTGCTAAAGAAATTTGACCATCTGGTGGTATGTACTTAAGAAATGTGACCATGTGCCAGTATGTGCTATAGAAATGTGACCACGTGGGTGGTATGTGCTATAGAAATATGACCGTGTGGTGGTCTGTGCTATAGAAATGAGACCATGTGGTGGTAGGTGCTATAGAAATATGACCTTGTGGTTGTATGTGGTATAGAAATATGACCATGTGGTTGTATGTGCTATAGAAATGTGGCCATGTGGTGATATGTGCTTTAGAAATATAACAAGTTTGCGGTAATTGCTGTAGAAATAAGACCATGTTGAATAAATTTGGCACATATTTATTATAATTTTTTTATTTCTGTTTTCAATTTTGTTCCGCTGATGATTATTTTTTTGATCTGCTCTGTACGCAGGTCCTGGGAGACATAGAGCTGGCCCAAAGTATCCAGAAGGAAAAATCTAAAGCTGGTGACTCGAAAGTAAGTCTCACCCTTCATTCCAATATGAACATGTTATGAAATGTAAAGAAGTCCTTCATTTTGGTGAAAACTTTTTTTGTAAAAAAAAAATTGATATATATTTTTTTTAAAAATAATATGAATGTAGCCTTGCTATAGTCTTCAAATATACATATTTTTTTAATGGACATGTTTAGGGTCATATCCCCTTTTCTAGATGCTGAAGTTCAATGTAATAACTTCAAAAAGAATGGAATGGCATGATACGAAATGTAGGAACATACGATTTGTATTAGCCCACATTTAGCTAAACTCCTTAACAAACAAAAAAAAAGAGTTCCTTGTATATAATTGTTCTTAATAGTGAAAATGCTGCCCCCTCCCCTCTCCTTTTCCCCAAATTTTTCCCTACCAGATTATTTGATTTAAATTTTTTTCTTCCCCAAAGTCGGAGCAAGCTTTTCCTCATCCATTTGATGTCAATTATAAAGTACTAAACTGTAAGCTGAAGCTTGTTGATAAAAAATCGTCTATTTACAAGGTAAAAATTTGCATAGTTCAAATTCATATCATTACGCAATTAGCGATAAAAAAATTAACTGGCCAAAACGCTTTTTTACTTTGAATTCTAAAATAAATAGGTTTTTTTAATGTCCATATGATTCATTTAATCATAGAATTATTTCTAAACTTATGGTAGGTTGTTGTGTTTTTGTGGGTTTTTTTAATTATTATATATTTTTTAAAGTTTTAATACATCAAATATAGTAAGCCCAAAATTATTTCAATGTCACTTACCTTCAGACAATAGACAAGTACTTCAAGGCGACAGAAGGAGCCACTTATAGAAAACTCAAGTTAACAGATGTTTGGGAAGTCGATCGGGAGGGAGAGGTAATGTGGTGTGTTGGAGGTCAATTGAGAGGTAAAGGTAATGAGGTGGGGGTGACAAATGTGGTGTGTGGAGGTTGATACCAGAGTTTGAGGCAATGAAGAGTGTGCGAGGGTGATGTGTGTGGAAGGGGATGTTTGGGGAGATCATCTGTTTGTGGGAGGTTGATAGTGAGAGGTCAATCCGTTTATATGAACAGACGTTTTCTTTGCTCTCAGTCTTTAAGTCAATTTAACCAGAAGCCGTTTATCTTATAAATTGTTCAGGCAGTCTGTACAAGGTCGTTGTATTTTTTCAGCCAGTCTGTACAAGGTCGTTGTATTTTTTCAGCCAGTCTGTACAAGGTCGTTGTATTTTTTCAGCCAGTCTGTACAAGGTCGTTGTATTTTTTCAGCCAGTCTGTACAAGGTCGTTGTATTTTTTCAGCCAGTCTGTACAAGGTCGGTGTATTTTTTCAGCCAGTCTGTACAAGGTCGTTGTATTTTTTCAGCCAATCAGTACCAGGTCGTTCTACTTTTTCAGCTAATCTATACCAGGTGGTTGTATTTTAAGCCAGTCTGTACCAGGTCGTTATATTTTTAAGCCAGTCTGTACCAGATGGTTATATTTTTCAGCCAGTCTGTACCAGGTCGTTGTATTTTTTCAGCCAGTCTGTACCAGGTCGTTGTATTTTTTTCAGCCAGTCTGTACCAGGTCGTTGTGTTTTTTCAGCCAATCTGTACCAGGTCGTTGTGTTTTTTCAGCCAATCTGTACCAGGTCGTTGTGTTTTTTCAGCCAATCTGTACCAGGTCGTTGTGTTTTTTCAGCCAATCTGTACCAGGTCGTTGTGTTTTTTCAGCCAATCTGTACCAGGTCGTTGTGTTTTTTCAGCCAATCTGTACCAGGTCGTTGTGTTTTTTCAGCCAATCTGTACCAGGTCGTTGTATTTTTTTCCAGGCCGAGAGATTCGCCGCCAACTCTGAAATAGACTACAGGAAACTGCTGTGGCACGGCACTAATGTCGCAGTCGTCACTGCCATTCTCAAGTCTGGCCTACGTATCATGCCACACAGCGGAGGGCGTGTAGGGAGGGGAATCTACTTCGCATCGGAAAATAATAAGTCAGCTGGATATGGTAGGTGTTAACTTGTTCACGTTGCGAAAGTATTGTACATAGTGGAATATCTATGGCTGTAGAATGTGTGACTCCTGGGACTGTCCTTGAATTTTGACGACACTGATTAACGAAAAACATAATGCAAGCAAAATAGACATACAAAATAAGCTACTAAAATGTACACTTCCAAAATATAAACTACCGCACTCTCAAATTTTTAATGACAAAAGTTTTTTTTTTTAGCAACGCACTTAACGTGTATATTATATACTCTAACACACCAGTTCTCAACCTCTTGGTCGCGACCCCTTTGGTTCGAACGACCCTTACACAGGGGTCGCCTAAGACCATCGGAAAACACACATTTATGAAGCAGCAATGAAAATAATTTTATGGATAGAGGTCACCACAATACGAGGAACTGTATTAAATGGTCGCGGCATTAGGAAGGTTGAGAACCACTGCTCTAACATGAATCTTGACAAAGGGAGACAACGATGTGTTTTTTCTTGTTTTGGCTCTGTGCTCTTGTGTAAGGTACATATCATATAGTGACTCACTAGGGATGTAACAACACAGACACCTTTATGCGATAGAAATAATGGATATGTGTTAATGGAAATGTTATTATATTTACACATTTAAAAAAAAAAAAATTGAAAATTGCTTTACTGTTCAGTAAGTCCAGCTCAAGGGAAAGGCATAATGTTCTTAAACGAAGTGGCGCTGGGGAAGCAGCACAAGATCATCATGGATGATTCAAGTTTGACTAAAGCCCCCAAAGGGTTCGACAGTGTGTTAGCATGTGGCCAACAAGAACCAGGTGAGAGAAATAAGTCTACCAAGCATTTTAACTTAACATGTAGCCTACATGCACAAAAATTGAACAGCAAAAACTTGCAAAGTAGTTCATCCAAGGAAGAGGCCCTGTGGTGTCTTGTCACATACGTTGTCAAACCATCTTATGAATACATCCAACAGACCCATTCTATCAACCCATCCTACAACACATTCTATCAACCCATCCTACAAGACATTATATCAACCCATCCTACAACACATTCTATCAACCCATCCTACATCACATTCTATCAACCCATCCTACAACACATTCTATCAACCCATCCAACAGACCCATGATATCAACCCATCCTAAAACACATTCTATCAACCCATCCTACAACACATTTTATGAACCCATCCTACAACACATTCTATCAACCCATCCTACAACCCATTCATTCAATCTATCTCATCAACTCATCCTATTAATGCACTGTAGGCTGTATTATTTTATTTCTATGTATCACCGTGCAGACATCAAGGAAGACTGTACTATAAAGCTAGATGGCCATGATGTCATCGTTCCCCAGGGGAAACCAAAACAGATCCCTGAATACTCAGGCAGCAGTTTCTGGCAATCGGAATATCTGGTTTACAGAGAAGACCAAGCTCGCATTCGGTATTTGCTACTTTTCGACATGTAACCCAAATTTTAGACCGTAGCAGATATTTAATAATATCAGTTTTTAATTCTTCAGCTCTTAGAACTTCCCTAAAAATTCCACTGGTGTTATTTGTGTCAGAAAGATTTTTAAAAAATGGGGAAAACAAATTTAATAGTAACTGTTTTTTAAGTATGTTTTCAATTGTTATGTGATTAATGTTGTGTTGACTTGATATAATAGCATATTTTTTTTAGTCGTTTCTTTCAACCTCTTTTTCATTGATTTCAATCATCTCATTTAAAAACATGCGCACTAGAAAATGAATGAATATTTCAATGTAAATGAACTGTGGGATAGATCTGTGTTACATGTATTTTATGTAATAAACGCTTAGTTCCCACTATTCATTGTTGTTGTGGTTTTTTTTGTTTTTTTTTTTTGCTGTTGTTGTATTTGTAGATGATGTTAAAACTTCTATTTGTAGCATTTGTGTTGTGTTTTTGTTGAGAGGCATGGGATGGCTGCTTTCGAGCTGTATCTTGTATTTTTTTTTTACTATTTTTTTTTTTTTCTTTTTTTTTTGTTTTTGTGTTTTTTTTTTTTTTTTTTTTTTTGTTGTTGTTGTATTTGTAGATGATGTTAAAACTTCTATTTGTAGCATTTGTGTTGTGTTTTTGTTGAGAGGCATGGGATGGCTGCTTTCGAGCTGTATCTTGTAGTAAGTGCCTTTAACTTCTCCATGGACGGTGGCAATAGATTCAATTTATAGACTTTTGGTCACATGACAAATCAGATTTACGTCACCCACGATGCTGGAGACCAGAGCTCTGCAACCGGTGTGCCGATATAACACCAGGTGTGCACGCAAAATACAAAGGAGAATACAAAATATTTTAGTTATTTGACTGATGAGGATAGTTGTGTAGGCTAATCTTTCTTATAGCCTTTTTAGTGGAACAAGATATGTTTATGCTTGATATGAAAAGACCGGAAAATTAAACGTAAGTTTTGGGTAGATGCCAGCAGACAATACAAAGCAAGAAACAAAAGGTAGTTAGAAATCAAAATCGTATGTGTTATAAAATGTCAATGAATTCAATGTTGTCCTTTGTTAAGAACCGGAAGCGCTTTAGGAATAATGATTGTATTGTCTGCAGAAGAAGGCATCTGGTCGAAACGTCATCTTCATTTAACTGCCATTTCAAGCCTAAGCATATCTTGCCCCACTATGTCCTAGCTATAAAATACCTTTGGTATTCCCCTTTGACGCTGCACCATAATGTGTCGCAGTTAAATGGCGCTCAAATTCCGCACCAGATAAACAACACAAAACAGCAGTGGCTTGATTAGGTGAGTTTTGCCGGTCGTCTTGCCTAGTCAGCGGACGGCAAGCATAGCCGACAGTGTCAAGGTCTTAACAAAACATCGTTCGGTTTAGGGGCGAAGGGAAGTACGATCTACTAAAACAAAAATAAAAATACTTGTGATTCACTTTTTTAAGAGAGAGAAAGAAAATCCTTGGAAGTGCAAATGACACATTACAGAAATCTGATCGCCCAACCACAAACAAATATGTTAATTAATTGAAATAATTAATATGGTATTAATTCTTTGGGATGAGATGGTCGAAAACAAAGTTGTTTGGTCAGAAGGTCGGGAACCCTAAGCTGGACCTTGGGCATGCGAGTGTCGAGTCTTAGAGTGTATATGTTATTTTAGATTTTAAGTTGTTGATACTTTCCCTTTCTTCCTAGAAGACTTTTAGGCTTTAATTAACGAGGAACGTTGTAGAAAATGCCATTAAGAAGTGAGATTTCAACATCTTTCCTTGTTTTCAGCATCAATGCCGGTTTAGTTGAAACAGTGTAGAGGGAGGGGGAGCATTGGTGTGACTTGTTGCTTGTGCAGGATGGTGGACACTGAAATAAACTTGAAGGTATATTGTTCTCAATCTCAGTTGTTCACAGAACTGCTTGTCATAAACACTTCCAGAAATCCGAATAAATTTTTACGAGGCTGATATTCCTAGAGTGTGTGTAATTTTTTTTATATTAAAAAGGCCAATCTTTGGTTTGTTTGCTAGAAAGGACAGTTTGTCAAATCCCGAATCTGGAGGAGTTACGTGTTAAACATTGCACCACTTTCTTTTTATGCATAGAGTGGCCCAGAAAAAAAGTGAGAACATCAGAATCTCGTAACAAAGTGTTACAAAATTGAATTAATAAAATGTTTTGCCATTGACAGTTTTAACAAAAATTATTACGCTAATCAGAAAACATGTTCAATCTCCCTGTTTCTCGGCGACTCTTTGTAAGCGTTGGCGCCTCGTTTATGCTTCTGACAATAAAGCGAAGTTATGACATTTGTTGTGCCACCCTGTATAATGTCAAAGCTAAGAGTAATCAAAGACGTAAGTTAAGGAGGGTCTGGGATGATGAATGCATGACTATGTGACAGCGTATCTAGAATCGCTTAACTTAAACGCCCCATTTGTACAACTAAATCCAGTGCCGGATTGAAGCACAAGCTCAACAATCTACAGATAGGGCCTCACAAAATGCGGGCTAGATATTTTATTTTTTATTTTACCAACTGATCTAATTTAAAACGGTGAAATGGGAAGGGGGGTTCTGGGCTTTTGTATAGCTTAGGGTTTCAGCAAGTCTAAGTTTGGCCCTGACTACGTCAAATTGGCTGTCTTCATCCAAATTCGATAGTTGACACCGGAAGGATTCTAATTCACCAACTTTTGGTCGAGGAAAATTGCCGCATTATAGGGCCTGGCAGTGGATTTAAAATAGCAAGATTTAAAAAAAAAAAAAAAAACTATATAAGTTTAATTCCATCCTGTATCTAACCTGAATAAAACTATATTTACTTCTTCCATCAATTCGATGACGATCGCTTAAACATCTGATTCGTGATGTGCTGATTCTCTCTGTGGCGCAGATGGCTATTTAAAGGGGCCGATTCTGGGGGCGAAATTTTCTTGTGCATTTGATGCAAGGAGTAGACGAGGCATCTCTGGGTATAGTAATGGTCCCGGCTTTTCTGTGTTGTCTTTTATGTTCTGCAGCAGTTGTTGTGGATTCCTTTTTTTTGTGTGGAGCTTTTGTGTAACGAGGAGCACCAAGAGGCTCGACCCCAGTTCATGCAAAAATACATTTTAAAAAACAGACTCTTTTATCAAATTTCAAAAAAAAAAAAATGGCATAAAACCATTAAAAATCTGGCCAACATTAATTTACAAAGTCAGGGGTCAGAACCAAATGGACCAACAACCAGTTTTATTATTGTTAATAATGATGGCAGCAGGCCCGTTCTTAGGCATACGCTGACTACGCATCCGCAGGTGCGATACAGAGACTCTCAAACCGCCAAAGGCGGAAAAATTTGTTAAAATAAAAATTCTGAACTCTTCCCACAATTTTCCAGAGGGCGACAATTGCCTATTTTCACGCAACCTAAAAAATTTTAATGTCTAGCGCCGGCCCTGAATACATTTATACCGCTACCTGTATTTATTTCGGGAACGGTGATCTTGGGTCAGCTCCGGCACTACCAAAGACTTGACTCCTGAATTATTTCCCCGTATACTTGATCTCTCCCCAGACTGTCCATGAGCACTGGAGCTTGTTTCTGCGGTGCACTATATGTTTCGGGTATATGCAGGATCCCCATACCTTGGAATGTGGTCATACTTTCTGTAAAAGGTGAGGTCGTGAAATGCTATCAATTATGTACAGCAATTTAAGTATCTTACCATCGAACACTATCGAAGTCGTTTGGGAAAAAATAAAAAAAAAAGAGGGGGGGGGGAAAAAAAAAGCTTAAAAATTTTTGTCCCATTACTAAAAAAAAAAAAAAAAATAATTTAAGTATTTTACCATCGAACACGATCGAAGTAGTTTGGGAAAAAATAAAAAAAAAAGGGGGGGGGGGTAAAAAAAAAGCTTAACATTTTTTGTCCCATTACTAACAAACAAAAATAAAACACCAATGTGTACGTAACGTCTTAGGGGCCGTCCATATAGTACGTTAATCTCTAGAGGGGGGAGGGGTCTAAGAAAGTGTGACGGTTTGTGACCGGGGGTGGGGTAAGGATCGTATGGACTTTCCAGATTTGTTCATCTTATATAATAAAACCTGAAACAGTGATGTTTAACTTGATGTTTAACTTGATGTTGCGATTCGTGATGGATGTATTCTCACATAAAATGTCCCTTATTTAAATTCAATATTTTAATAGTTGAGCGATTCTTCGATTAAATTTTAATTCTTCAGGTTCTGTGTTCGTTGCTGCATCCATGTACTGGCATCTGCAAATTCTGCTAATTCTTTTTTTTTTTTTATTTTCGTTAGTTTGAAAGTGTGACGTACTTCACGGGCTCAAGATACATTGGGATACATTGGGACAGAAAAAAAAAGGGGGGGGGGGTAAAAAATTTCCAAAAATAGCATCAAATTAACATCTTTATTTTAAAAAATAGACGTTTTTAGAAAAACGTGTCAACAAAATGACTGATCAAACAAGGAACCAATAACATTACTAAAATCAACAGATTAGACGTACACAAAGTCAAAGATGGCATTTCTGACCTCATAATAGAAATGACAACCGGGTAATGGGTCTAGTTCTAGGATTTTTTCCACGGCCAAAGTCCTGACCAACATAATGACACAATGCTTATTTTTTGGTGACTTGCTGATCAGCCTGCCATCCGGATTCTTCAAGCAGCATTAGCTAACGTTTGTTAAGTGAAGTGACATATTTCATTAGTATTATAATATATTATATGTTTGTAAGGTGCTTGAAAAGACTTGCGGAGATCACCCGCGAAGATAACCCGGATGTCCGGATACGAAGGTTGAGCCTATCATGTCCGACATGCAGGCATCCATTCCCTGCCAAGCCAACACTGACCGACCGAAACTGTACATGCATCGTCCTAAAACACATGGTTGAACTTTGGAGAAGAGAGTGCAAGCTGGTCAGTTAAACGAATTTTACTGCACAGGGAAGAGGGGAGGGGGGGGGCGGGCAGGCAGGCGGCATTTTCGCTCCATTGCATAACCCCCGGTATTAAATGTGTACTGTC